TGGTGTCACAGGCTGCAGTGGCTGCGTTACACGTCGTGGCTGTAGATCCGCGATGTCCGCCGCCATTTCACGTAGGACGGTGGACCCACGGACTACTATGTGCGGGCACCATGGACCGACCCCGGACTGAAGCAGAATATGCAGTTGGCAGTGTTTCCGAGTTGCGATGTTGGACCAACGAATTTGTGCGCTCCTGGGTGTGCAAGCTCTCGAAGCTGCAAAAGCTGCAAGGACGCGGAATCACCACAAGATGTCGTCGCAATTGTACACCGAGCACTGTGCGTAGCGGTGAAGCGCCCTTGAAATGGTACCATGGGCAGCCCTGGTTAGGAGTTGAAAAGGGGCTCTCAGCTCGGTCGATTTGGCAATGCACAGTGGTGGATTAACGGTGCTGATCGAAGGTAACCTGAGCTTGTACGAGGGGCGCAGTCAGCCGGCCATCCATGCCCTGCATGCGATTTCGCGATAGCATTAGCGACGGCATCCTGTGGGATGATGCCTCACATGACGAGCAAAATCCGCATCACCCGCTTTTCCTTGTAGAATCTATCTCACGTTTTCCCCAGCGCTTGGTCGGTTAACACTTCGTCACTCGGTGCAAAGTGTGTAGAAGTGGCAAAGGACTCGAAAGAAGCGTGCCTGGCGGCGGAATCAACGGCGCTTCTGTGAGTTCTTACTCGCCATCATGTCCTTTTCTTGCGTCAGCCTGGGCCAGCTACCTACCTTACATTGGAGTTACGTGCTTGTTGGGGTTTTTTTTTCTTTCTTACTGGACTAGTGGCCGTCCCTTGTCCCGAAGCTTCCCCTTTCCAGACTCGGACCTCTACTCAATAGCGGCTGCAGGGTCGTCCTCTAGTGGGGTCATCAACCAGAACCCAGCATTCTCGCCGATTCGGCCATCAGACCCACGCTGGGAAGCTCGACCGCTGGGGCTGACCAGTTTGTAGAATCCACCCGAATATTCATGGAACAGCGGAGGCGTTGGAGACCCCCAAGATTGGACAACTATGCGTATGTTCTTTTAAGCTGTTGATGGCAGTGTGTGAGCTGTAGAGTACTGTCTTGGGCTGCCTGCTCGTTGGGTATCGTGTGCGCACAGAAAGGTTTCGAAACGAACACGGGAAATGCGGGATGCGCAAAGAGTCCGTCGTGCAGAGCCTTGCCGCGAGGCAGATCTTCGCGGGAACACCTAGCTTCGGTCCCAAGTGCTCTAACCATTCTTAGCTGTACGAGGTGTTAAGCAGTGGGTTCTCGAACAACCTTCACTGCCTTTCTGTTGCAGGATCATGTCGGATCCGTTCTTCTGGCAGGCCTCTGGGTGGTGGGGGCTACCCTGAAGTCCCTTCTTTTGGCACTTCTTTTACACAGGGTTGTACGGCGGGGAAGGGGAAGGTATCCTGGTCTCCAATGCCCCGTCACAGTACCTTAGATGAGGACAGGGATCTCGGAGACAAGAATCTTTGCAAGCCTGAGGGTGGTGTTTGCATGCCTCGCACGTTTGGATATCCCAGAGGATGCTTGGTCGAGGCAAATGTGCCGATGCGGATAGGGGGCTGGGCGAGGCCGTGATTGAGAATGAGGCGAGGAGAAGGCCCAGGCTGGGCAATCCCTCGGATCAAGGTGAAACGAACGATTTCATTGCTTCATTAGCCACGCGCGTCGAGCCCAGAGACGAGGAGGCCAGGTAAAGAAAAAAGGGGATACGATGCGATCGTGCCCGAATGGCTTGCAGCGAGGCGGAGGAGCCGCCATCGCCAAAGTCTGTCTTCTTGTGTGTCATTGAGAGGAAGAGCTGCAGGAGCCGAGAGGATCAATGTTTTGTTCCACGTTCTCGGCGAACGGAATTGACCTGCATGTTTTGTATTCCCGTGTCTTTGAAGGCCCAAGAATAGGCGGCATGCTCTCTGGCACTTGGGCGACTTGAATATTGATTCTGCGGAGAGAGGCGGTGACCGAAGGTGACATGACAGCGTAGCGAGCGGCATTGCAAGACAGGTTTGACAGAGGCGAAGTGACAGGCCATGTCGGTCTGGGGTCGGGGGGTAAACCCTTGGCATTGATGTCGATGGAGTTCGATGGAGTTCCGGTCGGATCTACCTTACCGTCTGTGTGCCGAAAGACGTGGGTCCGAAATGGTGAGGTCTCTCTCTGATGGATAGAAGTTGACGATGCAGAAGGTCATAGGAGGTCGCGGGGTTCCCAGACGGTGACACCGTGCCCTGCCTTCCTAGCCAGAAAAAGACGAAAAAGACGAGATCCTAAGAAGCATCTGCCTTGCACTTGCTTTTCCAATGCACGGCATGTGTAAGGATACGTATGTACGTAAGTACCTTACGTATCTGCACTTTGGTGAGGTACCTGACCTTCCTTTCCGCTTTCTTCGTCCTGCCGCTGCAGACCGTACTATGCATGTGCAGTAGCTGCACGTTGGACCCGGGCGACACGGGGCAGGTTGCATCGGTCCATCTGGCCGGTCGAGGAAGTTGCGCGACTTCCGTCCAGAGAAGATGACTACTCCTCCGTCAAGCCGTGAAAGCAAACCAAGCTGCAAGTACCTCGGCGCCAGCCTATCCATACAATCTGTACCTTGCCGTGCTTCCCAGACTTACCTTGAGGTACCTCAGTAACCTACCTTAGGTTCCTGAGGTGATCATCGTCACCAACCACCTCGCCCTCGCATCGAATGCGTCACGGTTGTCACCCACACACGAGCCATCAAGCGGTATGAGGAGACGGTGGGTCAAAGTCCCGCGTACAGACTATGGCAGGGAAAGATGTTTGTTGGAGGTAAGCAAGGGCAATTGGAATCCAGGCACCCTTTCCCACCGAGCCGGGCTGGAGGCTCGCGTCGACACCAGAAGCCGTCAGAGTAGATCCCTCGCAGCCACTCAATGCCATCCAAATCTTCCATGAGGCGCTTCGAGCATTGAGGTGCCCTGAGCATTGAGCATTTGAGCGCCACCCCCATTTACAACGTCGGTGTCATTGTCCCTGACCGCGGGGCACATCACTTGACGTTGCCGCGGGCATGGGCGTGGTCGTTGTAATTGCACCTGAAGCCACGGGGCCGCCTCTTGCTCCTCTTCAAGCACATGCAGCCTGGAAATAAAAGTACTCACTTTCGGTAAGGCTGCTCAGCTTCATCTTGGTCGCCAGCTCCAGCTCCAGCTACGGTTCCAGCTCTGGCTTTGGAAGCTTGGCATTCTCGTGGCTTCTCGTCCTGGTCACCGTCTTGCCCTGCGTGACGTTGCTTTTCGCTTCTCTCTCTCTATCTGTAGGCATCGTTCCCTTCAATCTTCCTTCTTCTGTCCCCCTGGTATAGCACCCGGTCCTATCGGTGTTTACTCTTCCATCACTGTTGCCCTTCCTCATTCCTGCGCAGCATCCCTTTGGCCGCCCCTTCCGACCACCCTGGACCCTGCCTGCGCCAACCTATTCGTACCTGGCTCTGGGAGGCGGTTCGGCGGCCAAGTAGAAGTGTGGCATGCGGCGTGCGGCATGCCCTGTGCTGACTCTCTCACATTGCGTCCGTCCGAGGTTGCTGCACGACCCGGTCTAAGAAGATCCAACGCTGAACTACATTATTCATGCCTTTGCGCCATCCCATTGTCTATTCCATTGTCTGAATTTCGGGCCTCGCTCATCTGCTGCCATCTCTTTTCCAACTCGTCAAACCTTTCATCTATACTTGTTCAGACTCGGGAGCAACATCAAACGAACATTCGGCACTTTTACAGAACTCAGACGACGTGACGTCGGCTACGTCAGTTCCCGGAGAGCTTTTACTTTGAGCAGTCCTGGGATGCCTTGCCCTCTTCTGTACGTACTTCGCGTCTCTTTCTCTTCTCTGCCCTTTTTAGTCCCAACCTACCTACCTTAACCTACCTTAACCCTGCCCTGAACCGTGTCTATGAGGTGCTATTCCTGTCGTCCCCTTCGTGTTCCCGTACTCCTCTTCCTCTTGGCTTGTCAATGGACGGCTTGGTTTGTCACTCAGCCCTCCCTCTTTCGCAGCCAGTCCAGGCTAGCCCCCCTTTGGCGCAAGTGTCCCTCTGGTTCTTGCTCGCTCCCAGGCGCTACAGAAGCACGCGCACCCCCTAGCAGGCACCATTCACCATTGCCCATCCAATCCACGCCAGGCCAACCTGAAAAAGGCCATGGTCTGCTGCAGCCCTGTACGAAACGGGTAGATTGCCTTGTGTGCATCCCTCCTTGGTGTGGGCGAGCGGGTTGGGTGGATGAGAGAGTGGGCATTGTTAGGTGGGCTGGTGCTTGGAACCCGCGCGCTGGGCGGTCTCGCGCAGTCTGAGGGACGGCGTACCCTCTCTCTATGTGCCCGGCGCTGGTGCTCACTGCTGCCTTTTTGGCCCTTCTGGGCGGCTTCTTTCCGGGCCTGTGGTGAGGTGGGCTCCTCTGCATCGCCCTGCTGCCTCCGCCTCTTCCTCCCGTCGTCTCCCAGGTTCCCCCGTGTTTGACTTACATAACAAGTCAAGCATGCCACGCACCACGCATTGCGCTGCCAAGGGCCCATTTCCAAAACCTCAACTCCATGCCTACCAGTATTCAGCTTGATCAATAACTCATACACGCCGGTGGTTTGGCATTCTTCTCTCTTGGAACTGCTCCCACTAATCTGTCTATTCTTCTCCTTGCCTTTAGTTTCTAGTTTGTGCATCTACACAACGCATCAGCCGGTCACCCGCGCATCTTTGTCGTTCGTTGCCGTTCAGCACATCGGGGAAGAAACACAGCCAGCCCACGTCCAACAACCACTTCCTTGCCCCTGACCTCCCTCGCAACGAAGGAACAACTCGCGCGACCACCGAGGCCATAATCTAGTCTTCTTCATTGTTCATGTCGAAGGAAAGCCTTTAGTTACAAGAAAAGGAAAGGGTTCATAGGGCTTACGCAACAACCATAAGACATTTGGACCAGATCTTTCTGCCATCGATATTCCTGCGAAAAGAATAGTACCCTGGTGTCCAGCCTCCAACGATTCAATGGCAGCCACGACGGCACCGACACCGCCCGTCATGACTCCGACTGCAAGTCCGAATCGTCTTCGAAAGCACATCTCCCCCGAGCGGCTTACTTTGGGCGACGAGGCGGGCCGTAAACCGGTGTCGGCAAGAATTCGGGACGCTCCCGCTTCTCCTGTCAGGGTGAACTTTCAAGCCGAGAACTGGGCCCAGCCATCCAATGCGAACATTGAACTGGCGCAACCCTACCAAGCAGAGTTTTCAAATGTCGATCGTTCCCGAGACCTCAACGCCCCTACCCCTCCTTCGCACACCTCGGCCTACGGTCAGGCTGGACGACAAATGCAAAGCCATGAAAGGACGCAGCTGCCTCCCCTCAAAACGTCGAACACCTACACTTCCGAACCCGACTATCTGAGTCCAGCGAGCTCTCTTACACCCAACCAAAGTGGCCACGATCAAGGCTACAAGCCGAAGCGCGGGGCCCAAGGGCCAGACAGCTTCAGCGCTCACAGCGCATCAAGAATTCAAGATGGCAACCGCCACAGTAGGGAGTCGGACACCACCACCTCAAGCAACACCCAACAGCAAGCATCGGCACAGTCTTCTGCAACAACGAGCGCAAGTTCTATCTCTGGTATCAACGAGTCATCCGAATACAAAGATGAGTCTCCCGAGAGCTCGATAATGGAGGGCAACATGCCAGAGAACAACTCTGTCCCCATGTTCCAATACTACCACCATCAAGAGTATCCTCCCCAACGCGTCTCGAGTGTTCCTCATGAGCTTGACGCTCGTCGTTCCTCTTCGAACCCAAGTCTCAACGCTGATGGAACCCCTGTGAATCGTCACCTGACACCCACCGGGTTTGCCAGAAGGACTTCCATGCCGCGTCCTTCATCGGCTTACTCTGCCATTTCAGACTATGCCCCCAGAGGGCGATCCCCGAATTTGACGCCTGGAGGGTCACATATGCGGACGCCGTCAGGCACTCGCAGGTCCCCAGAAACGAGGCCAGCTTCATACGCAGAGCTGTTGAACGTGCCGTACCCGCAGCCAGCTCCTGCCCCGATAAGCTTCGACAACAACCAATTGCGCAATGCCGTTGGCAACAACGCTTCGCTCCTCGGAGCTCAAAAGACGCTGGAAATGTACCGCCAGAACGTCAAGAAAACCAACGACTTCTCCATCCAATACTCGTTTGCGGTCTTCCTGATATCCACCGCTCAAGAGCAGGGTCTGGACCCCAGTGAGCCAGCACCGCGCAAGGGAAATTCCAGCCCCAAAAGTTCCCCCTCGTCAACTCCCTATGACCTCTTGCGAGAGGCAAAGGGTATATTACAGAAGCTGGCCAGTGGTGGATATCCCTTTGCCCAATACTACCTCGCAGATGGATACGCCTCTGGCCTCTTTAGCAAAGGAAAGGAGGACTATAACCAAGCATTCCCCCTCTTCGTTCTCGCCGCGAAGCATGGCCATGCTGAGTCTGCTTACCGCACGGCGCTGTGCTACGAGTTTGGCTGGGGTTGCCGCAAAGACCCTGCTAAGGCTGTCCAGTTCCTCCGCATGTCCGCGTCGAAGCGTCACCCGGGTGCAATGTCTCGCCTTGGCAAGGCTTGTCTTTCAGGCGATCTGGGCGAGAAGCGATACCGTGAAGGTATCAAGTGGATGAAGCTCGCAGCAGAGGCCGCCGATGCCGTCTACAGCGCAGCTCCGTACCAGCTGGCTTGCTTGTACGAGACGGGGTATGGCGATGACATTTTCAAGGATGAGGTTTACGCGGCTGAGCTCTTCACTGCCGCGGCAGAACTTGGCCATCCAGAGGCCAACTTCCGCATGGGCGAGGCCTACGAACATGGGAAGCTCAGCTGTCCTCGCGACCCCGCGCTCAGCGTCCACTTCTACACTGGCGCTGCCGAGCGAGGACATGCAGGCGCCATGATGGGTCTCTGCGCATGGTACATGGTCGGTGCTGAACCGATCTTGGAGAAGGATGAGGAGGAAGCTTACGAGTGGGCTCGCCGTTCGGCCGAGATGGGTATGTCGGGAACCATCTTCAAAGCAGTGACTGAGCGAGGCGACGAGGCTAACCGTTACTGTTTAGGATACGTAAAGGCGCAGTACGCAGTGGGCTATTTCACAGAGATGGGAATTGGCTGTCGGCGCGACATCCTTGAGGCCAACGTCTGGTACGTCAAGGCTGCCGATGCAGGCGATGAGCGCGCGAAGCAGCGTTTAGCAATTATTCAAGCGGCTGTCAGCGGCGGCACCCCAATGGAAGTCGCCCCTCCTCGGAGTGGAAAGATTAAAAAGAGCGGCGAAGACAAGGATAAGGATTGCATTGTGATGTGAGAAGACACATCCAAGGAGGTCTGTCGACGGAATCACACCACAAGACATCGGCGTTGGGCAGGAGGCCAAGAAAATTCAACTTCACTAATAATGACGAGGAGGGGCGCCTCTATTTTCGGGGAATGCCAGAGGGCCGATTTTGCCGACGTTTCTCGACTGTTGGATAACACACCAAAGGCCGCGTCAATTGGCATATCACCATTTTCTTCGTTTTCTCGCACCAAGGGCATCTACAAAAACGGATTAGGGCTATGGGTGGGTGTGACGGGATGTAGTGCGGGAAGTCACTGCACATTGACAGGAGGGGCTGACTTGTTTGTTCCTTTGCATGTCTGTCTCTATGGCCCAAGGACTCGTCACCTCTCTCCCGGTCTGTCTCTCTCCATCACATGTTCGGTCCTTTCGTTTTGTTTCTGGTCTTTTTTCATCCAAGGCGGGGGCTTTCATGAAACTGCATTTGCATAGCATGAGGACCCGGGCACAAGCGGGTGCTTCATGATCTAAACATGGTCGGAACTTCTAGCCTGGGAACTCCAATTGAAAAGGGCGTCTGGAGAGGGGGAACACATTGCGATTGAAGACAGACAGAGTTGCGCAGGTGTGTACACGCCTGGCTGAGCTTTCAGAGGAGCTTGTACATATGAGATACCAAAATCCCCTGTCTCGGACAGGCGTTCTTGAGCTATGCATTTTTGTGTCGATGGGTGACTTCTTTCGTGATGAGTACGTGGCCGGCGTGTTGTGACAATGAGTTGATGGCGTTTGTGGTGACGACGACCCGATTCCTAGGTTGGTCCTGGTTCCGGGGGTGCTAGTGTCGTTGCCTGTCTCGTTCGCCGGGTTTCGGGCCGGGTTTCCTTCAAGAGGGCTCTGTCCACTTGCGTTTCTTGTTCGCCTGTATTCGACCGGTCTCCTTTTTTTCCACAGCGATCCTGAATCCGGACCAGTGTCGGAGGTTTTCCTTCGTACCCTATTGTGGATCATCGTCGTTGCGAGTATATACATCTTTCGTGTCCGTCCTCTGATGCCTCATGTCAAACGCCGAGACAAGACGGTCCGTGCAAGGCCCGATGAACACTCTGACGGAGAATCTCTTTCAGTTTCTTTTCGTACTCGTATCCCACTTGTGTGCAAGGGGTTTCCGAGGTGGAGGCGCCGAGTTGGTTTAAGGGTGGAACTTGTGGTCTTTGCTTTGCTTTCTGTTTGGATATTATTGTGTGTAGGTACTGGACTGTGTGTCAGAGAGGTGTTGAGAAGCTCGGGGCAACTTTCCAATGTCTCGCCAGCGGTATTTCCTTCGGGTTGTGGGTGAGAACGGATTTGGCTACCTAGTCGTTGAGGGGAGGTTTTGTTTGTGACGTGGCTGAGACTTTAACGTAAACACCGGGTGGCTTTTCGTGGTGTAAACTCCCGGTTTGGGAGGTAGCATGCTTCAGAGTCACCACTTTTTTCTGGGTCTCTGGGGCTCAGTTGCTGGATCTTGGGAAAACTTTGGAACTTGAGTCTCCGGGACGAGTTGGGCGCGTTTCGAGTTGACAGTTCAAAATTGACGGTTGGTTTTGTGAATATTGCTCTTATATGCCTAGTGAATGATCTGTGCCTGCACAACTCAAGGGAAAGCGGTCTAGAAAATCACAATTGTCAGGATCTTCATTCTAAGGCTATTTTCCCGATCATGTTGAAATACCGCATTTGAATCTGGCGAAGTGGGCAATGAAATTCCGCGGGAGAATCGTTAGGTGTGCTCCGCCTTTGGTGAGTGGAAGAAGCCAGTACCGTTCGGGCCGGGAAAGTGAAACAATCTTTTTCAAGGCCTTGATGCGTTGGTATAGATGCTCGTATTTGACCATGGCTTCCGGGATGTCTCAATAACCTCTGGTGGGTGTTTTTGGTGAGCGTCGGTTCTACCTCGTTGCTCAAGCCAGTGCCGTGTCTCTCCAAGGAATAGATCTTTTACGTTTGAAATGGCATGTTCTACTCTTTTCCATAAACATGGCAATAGAAGATAGATTTCCAAGGGCAGTTTCATCCTTTCATTGAATACCAAGACCTTTTGAGATCGTTCCTCCACGACATGGAGTATCTAGGTCAGGTTCTGTCAGTGTCAGAGATACGATGGTGGCAGTTGATGTTTCCAGCGAAGACACAAACCCCAAGGAAGAAACATCAGCTTGTTAGTCTCTATTTTTGCTCTTGACATTGACTGTGTTCTCCTTGGTAGTTTGAAAGCGTATGGTCAACGCCGGATTCCAGCCCACTCAAAGGCGATATAGATGAATAGGCAACGCGACTCACTTCATCCTATACGTACAGAATATGTCTGGTATCACTATGGGCGAGCCTGCTTTTGGAGCTCTTAACTCCCCTAGACCTGCTGTTCGTACGGAACTCCCCCCCAAACAAGACTCACTAAGACTCGAGGCCTAGTACTCCTCACTTCTCCTAGTCTGGGGTTGGAGATACTTATAGGAGCTTAACGTGGAATTGTTATGCAATAGAAGATGCCAGCATGACCCAGTTTTGCCGAGTCATTGACGTAAGCCACGGCCTGTCTGGTCTGGATGAACGATGTGCTTTTTGGCCCTGGTCAACGGGATATTTTGCTGCGGAAGACCCCGGCGCCTCCGGCATTCTGAGTCGAGTGTGTGGGATGGATGTTCTTGTAGGGGGTTTCTTCTCACCCTGATTGCTTCTTCTTTCTCGCACACGTATTTCTCACGCCCATGCGAGCGGGTATCTCATAAACTTTGTTTATACACCAGTTTCCGTGGCCAGTCTTACCGAACAGCCATCCTGGCGAGTATCAGCACAGTGTTTAATGAAGTTTATTGGGCACAAGGTTGCAATTATGTCATGAATGATACATATGATTTGGCTTGGCTGGCGACCGGAAAGAGTGGAAGGTTCGAATTGAAAAAGCGCTGATGTTGATGTTTCTCTCAAGTCTCATGACATGTGGCCTGCCGATTTCGCCCTACTCCAAGCAACATTCTTCCGGTTAGGCTTCCGACTACTCTACCGTCGCTCATATCGCCAAGACCAGACTCTAACGTCCCATCATGTCAGCTGGTCACGCACCAGTAAGATGGTCCTCTCTACCATGAAAAGACCAGCTATTCCTTCTGTTTATGTTCCGATTCAGTAAACCAGTCGTCGGGGTTTTCATCTGTGCAGATTTTCTGGACGCGCCAACAATTTGGGCGCCCTTTGGTCGATGGCTGGGCCACCTGCCTTTCGCGAGCAACGCCATTTGGCCCTGACGTATGGAGCTCTCCGCACAACGAGCTGGGAAAGTTCTACGTACCTGGTGGTCTTGTAGAACAGCGAGGGATCGTCAAAGGTGTTGGCAGCGATGCGCACACCTGTACCTATTCACACGCTGAAGCCCTGGGATTTCCGGCTATGAATATCGTGGTACATATGCCCAGGAAAGAGGGGTGGCCCCTGGCCTTGCAGTGCTGGATTAGGAATTGCGCCATTATGGCGATCGTTCCAACGATATTCGCATGTGGTTTGCTGAAGCGGCCATACTCAAGGCAAAGTTTGGGAATAACGGCCTTCTCTCGTGATTCTTATCGGCCTAGGAAATATAGGTCAGCACTGCCATTGTGGATAAATCTTTCGTTTCCAGAGTAGCTTCGAGTGCCGTAATCTACATGTTGTGGCTTATTCCCATCAACCCATGGGTCTGGGATTGCACAGAAGAAGATGTATAGAATCTTGGAAGATGGCGAGTCTCGACTACGTCAGGGCACGGGCAAATGAAGATATCACCTGGCTGAGACAAAACTACTTGAGCCCGTTGCTGGAATGGCATAGTTGGTAAAAGAGATGCGAAGATGATAAAACTGGTGTTTCTCCTATTCAACTCTTTCCTCTCTTTTACATGGTGTATTTCTTGGGCGACTGATGGGCTACTACTAGAGTGCTGAAAGAAAAGGACCTTCACAAATACTGTAATTGTTTAAACTCCAAAATCTCGTTTCAGACCAAGAAAAGTCAACAATTATCCATATGAACTCTTGTAGAGTCGACATGCAGTAGTATTTGCGATCTGGAACACCTCCCATTTGCCGTCCAACTTGTTAGGAAGCCACGATACGTCCGCGGGTACTCTCGAGTCCAGAGGTGAGAGCGCCGGTCGCAGGCGGAAGAGTGGATGTCATCTTGGTTCGTTAGTATCAAAAACAGGTGTGTTTTCTTGCAGAACGGAGGAAGCTTGGACTATTCAACTTAGAGACACTTAATAGCACACATAGTCTTGTGATGAGTAACGATAACGGCCGGGAAAATTTTACTCAAATCCGCTCAGTTCGACATCGAATTATTTTCCTCCGCAATATGTACGCAGTCACGGGCCTAGGCTCCGGCATCTTGAAGGTGCCGTAGCCGTCTTGAGTTCATAAAGTAGTACGCATAGAAACAGTGCAAGCCAAATCTCCATCATTCCCAAGCCCATATTACGCGGTTAACTGGCGAGATACTGCATACTTCACTACTCTACATGGCTTATACAGGCCAAAATGTGCTCAGAGATGTTACGTAACTATGTCGATGTTAAGTAGCCGCCTGAGGCCGGCCTCATGCCCAGGTTTAGAAGCTAGTTCCACTTCAATGTGAGCTCTAGTTATGACAAAGCTTCTCATTAATAAATTCAGCTATACTTGCTCAGGCGAGCCTTTAGAGATATGGGGCAGGATAACTGCTAGGGCAAAGGTCTGCGTATCATTCGGGCAACTGGGAGTGTCGATAGAGTCGTACTTTAAAGTCAAGAAGTGGGTTGAAATAAACTTTACAGGCGCAAAGTATTATTGAGATGTTCTAGTCCCAGTCAGGTTAGTGGCAAGTGGTCTGCCGGCGTGTTGCCGATCATCCCGGCCGGGTCTTAATGACCCCTTATCCCCATAAAACCCGGCCGCCCGGAGCCAAGCTCTACTCCCCCGTTTCATAAGCTCGTTCTCGTTACGACCCTGGCCTAAGGCATTACATGTCCATCTGGCAGCCTATGCAGATAATCAAGATGTGTTTCCTTGCCGCTCTTAGCTAAGGGAGAGAGGCTCAGACTCAGAAATTTACACCAATGGCCGGTTTTTCCCGATCATTGCCTTCGTTCTTCCAACATTCGATGGCGTCGCCCAGCGTGCCTTTGTGCTGCTATCAACTGCCGCGAGGCTCGTCCCTCACGGGAATTTCACTGGAGTTGCTTCCGGCGCGTCAGTCCTTCTCATGGAGCCGCCCAGGTTCTGCGTCGACCCCATTGTCGAGGCAGGAAAGAGCAGAAACATGCAGGTTAATCTAGCGACAAGGAGATCTTCGCTCTCATCTTCGCTGCCATGGATCCGGCTGCACTCCTTGAAACCGACGCAGGCATCAGAAAGCTCGCTTTCGGCCTATTACGATTTCTCGGACAAGAAGAGCTCTGTCACAAGCTTGGGCCCTCGTATGGCCAACCTTCAGCCGTTCGTTTGCCACAAGTTCAACAGCCGTCACTTCTTCCAGAGCTATGCCGAACCTATCGTCTTTCCTCTTGAGCAAGATGCAAGAACCGCACAAGAACGGATGGTGCATCGGGGGCTAAGAGCTCAATAAAAGACCAGCTGTTAAAAGGCTAGGACACTAGAAAAGGTTCGTAATATCATTTTCGGTAAAAGTTTTCTCAAAAACACAAGTCATTAGAACAAAATAGGCGCTAAACCAAACAAAAAACAGCTTGTCGCAAGATGCATAGCATCCTGCATGTTCCTACCAATGAGAAGGTCAATGCTATAAGACCGTTAATTAAGCAGGGCGTAGACCCGCTCAGTGCGATCACTATCATATCATGGTCAGTACTTCAACGCTTCAATAGTCTAACCTGGATGTTTTAGCTGACCTGCAATACTAAGGGTTTCCAGGACACTCTTGATTAGCATCCCGCTCCCCAGAGTCGTGAGCGGTGCCTCTATCGCTAAACTTGCCGAAGAAGCTGCACGACGACTCTCAAGAGCCGCCATTCCCCTGATCGAATCCGCCAACGACATCGCCAAAAGTGAAGACAACAGCCCGAGCGGTAGCCATTCGCCTATTAACACATCGAGTACCACATCAATCTCAGACTAGAGGGGTGATAACGTTGTCTTGGATGACGAGGCAACCACTCTGCGCCGGATTCCTTTGTCCCTCACTAAGGAACACTTGTAAAGGCTCCTTCAGTAATATTCAATAAGCCGACCATCTTTTGCAACACCCTTGGCTTGTTCATGAAGGGTTCATTGGATCTGGACCGCCATGAGAAGGCTCTGAATAAGGCCCTCCGCCGGCATGAGATCATCCGCACGGTATTCTTGCCTGAGGGAGAGCAAGTCATCTTAGCAACTCCAGTAACCCGTATACTCTATGTTGAGGTGAGCGATCGGGCAGCGGCAGAAGAGGCGTATAAGCAACTGGAGAAGAAAGAGTACGATCTCGCCGTGGATGAAGGCCTCAAGATTATCAACGTATACTGAGCCTGGGACGAGGATCTGTTTGTAACCGGCTACCACCGCCTAGTAGGCGACAGCTCGGCAGCTCGATAACTCAAAACTTTCCGCTGTACATCGGGGCGCAACTTTTGGCGCCGCAGCAATACTCCAGCTTTGCCTCGCGGCAGAGATCCGAGGTCCACGGTGGTCAGACAGATAGACACCGACATCACGTACTAGACTTCTATAAACAAGACCGTCCCGGAGGTCCTCCCAATCCAATTGCTTCCCAGCGCCTAAAGGCAGCGATGGGCGAGCAACCACGTCGGGACACTGCGCCTGAGCGCGATTCTGGCCATCCGTATCCACAAGCCGTGCAAGAAGCTCAAGGGCGTGACGCCTATGCACTTCTACCTGACGGCCTCCACCTGCTCCTTGCGCAACTCTTAAATACGGAGGACGTGGCTATAGTCATCGCAGACACCAACTGCGTAAACGTCCAGGACGTCTATAATATGGGTTTCTTGGTCAACCTGCTCCCGGTCCGTCTCGCGCCCCCTGCGCCGGCGCAGACCTTTGTCAATGAGCTCGAGGCCGTCAAGAAGCGCTTGCGCAAGGCGATGCAGCATTCTAATGTCCCCTAAGGAGTCACTCTCGACCGCCTGGGCCTCGTGTTCTCATCGGCGGAGCTGCCGCATGCGCCCCTATTCCAGGCCATCTTCGACTACAGACAAGATGCCGAGTAGACCCGACGGCTCGGCGGTGGTTCTTTACGAAAATCCGGGCTTCTCGGGAGCGCACACCGCACACCGCACACACACCGCACGATGTTGTCCTGGAGATGTCGGACGACCCGGCAAAAGAGCCGGCAAAAGAGCCGCTTGTCACTGTCAAGCTGTAGAACTACATGTATGGGGAGAAGGATCCTGAGGCATTCCTGGATGCGTATGAGGCGATCCTGATCAGCTTCTCGGAGAAAACGAAGCTGGCGTTGTCCAGGGATTAAGGGATTTTTACTGTTGTCCTGGGCTGATTCCAGATTATGAGGTTCTACCCTTTGTATGCTCCAGTGACCCGGTTGTCTGATAGAGATCAATAACACAAGTCTCATTTCTCAATAATACCTGCATAGAATTAGTTGTGAAAGTCTAGGAAGACCCGCTCAGTTGTATTCTCATGTGAAGCAGCAATTCGACGTTAGACTGTTGCATCGCCTTAATGTCGATACAGTGTGTCCGATTCGCGACTTCATCATCCGTCTGACGAGTCACCTGACTTTATATTATCCAGCTTGTTGAATTTTGTTGTTTCCTTTGAGAGTCCAGCGAAGGCTGGGCCGTCCCAGAATCTCCGAAATCTCGTTATCGCCAAAACACACAACTTCAACATAGCAAGTACCATCAGTCCGCAACCAAAACTCGAGTAGCCGCATCTCAAAAGATGCCCTTCGATAGATAACGGCGACTGCGACATTTTCCGCCGAGTCTCGCGTTGTCGAGACTGAAGCCGACTCCAGAATCCACTCTACATCCCCCACCATCAAACCGGTGCATCCCAACCAAGACTCCACAGCCGCAATCTTACCTTGCCCAAAGAGGGTTTCTGTCTCCGCAACTGTGCAGATTCGAGCGCAAACAGCCACCTCTCCAAGACTCCATAGGCAATTTGTCAAGACGCTCCAACAACCATCCCTGCATCTTAAGATGCGGGCGATGCGAGGGCTGCTGGCGCAACGGTAGCGCGTTCGACTCCAGATCGAAAGGTTATCCGTTCAAATCGGGTGTGGCTCATTGTCTTTTGCCTCTTCCGAAGCCACTCGAGGCTTATGTTTTGGTGGTGATAGTGAAAGATGGGGGAGAAGAGGGGTTTTGACGCGCAAGATGTGCGGGACCTGAATGGTGGACTTGCAAAGCAAGGTCGCTTTGGTTTTTCAAGCCCCCTGCCTTCCTGCTATGCTTTTGGACGGCTTGTACAGCTGTGCAGAACCAACTCCCTTCATGGATATGGCGCTGGAAATGCATCGCTTACGCGGGGAAGAGCAGCTTATATTCGATTGTGGGAAGCGCACTCAGAGACATAGAGGAGATGCCACCAGCATCGGCAGAAGCCACAAACACGGCAACTACAAATGATGAGCACAACAGCAAACAGAGAAGGTCTGTTATGCATCGTCTTGAGTTGTCCAAGTTCTGTGAGGGGCAGAACGCCAATGCATTTGGTAGGACCGAAGTTTAAGTAGAGCATTTCAAGAACTACTTTCAGCTTACCAAGGCTTGAGTCAGATGATGATTGATGAAGGACGAACGTAATGCTGCAAGGTCTTCTTATATCTCGTCTCCCCGTCCTAAGTGTTGGGCCTCTTTGCTAAAGTACGCAGTAGACAATGGTTGGAAGAAGTCGAGCTCAATTACACATTGTGCTGAATATCGAGAAACATAGAATCAGAAACCAAGTGTCCTTTTGTATAGACCTTAAGTTCAGCTGGTATAGTTCACGCTATCGAGCGGGTTCAAAAGGCTATCGCCTCGGAAGCGGCCATTGATGAATTATGCACCTCCCGAATAGAAGCACGTATCTATCGCATTGACAGCATATCAGATTTGGACGAATTTGCTGCTGTATGTCTTGGCCAGTGAAGTATTCGACTGTAATGTAATCGATTGGAACAAACACGGCATTAGAGATGTGGTATGAAAGTGATAGAAGTTGGGTCAGGAGTGGGTGTGAAGGGTACATCGAAGGCGAGAAATCATGAAATGATGGATTCATGCCGCACTTCTACGGAGACTTACAGACGATGGAGAGTCGAATCGAGATGTCTTCTACGTATTGGGAGCCCGGTTTTCGGGATGAATTGCAGATCATCTCGGGCCTTGCAGTATCTCACTGTGGTCATCAGCTGTGATCGAGACGAGGGGTCACGGTAACTACACTGAATAACCGGCTTAAACAACAACCGGCTTAAACTTGCAGTCATCGACAAGCGCAAAGATACGAAAGGGTCCTCCGCTCATCAGGATAAGACACTACCCTAGCAGTATACACATGCCGTATTCATGACCCACTTACCAAGAACCATCACCAAAACCTCACCTCAACCACGCTCCTGCCCATTCGGGCACCAACACCGCAAGCCACCGCGACTTCTTTTCCCCCAATCATCCACGTCCGCACAACGCCGCACACCGCCAGCACACGTGACCACCGCCTCGAATACCTCTATATTGAACAGAAAGTGATCATTCTGTCACCAAGGCCCGTGGTGTAGCGGGACATGTCCGGCGTCTGGATAGATATCTTGCCGGAAGTTCCCGCACCCACGGGTCGTGAGTTCGAGTCTCACTTGTAAAATCTCTGCATCGTTACACCTGAGGCTGGTAAGAGTCTCCAGAGATTTTCATAGGTCCTTCGGGACTGAACTTTTGCACTTTTCTTGTGTTTGAATATTCTTTTTGTCAGCGCATTTCATTCAGTACGTTGCGAGTCCTGTGCGGTGCTATAGGAGAACGGCGAGTTTTTCATAACTAGCTGCCCAGCCAGTCTTTGCATTAGTTGACGAGGAGAGACTAGTCGCGTTTACCATATGTCTGATATAGAGAAGCATGCAACCGCCGCATTGTTCCTTGCTTCCACTGGGATTGGAACGTAGTCGGCATTATCTCACCTACGTGCAAGGCATGATGTCAGCAATAAAGGTCATCGTATCAAGAACAAGAGGCAATGACAATTAATGACCCAAGGCTATCTAGGACATAGCCTATCTGGAAGGGGGACGCAAACAGCACCTGTTGAAAATCATCTCATTAGGGAAGATAGCATGTAGCAAGTTCTGGTATATACTCGTAACACTTTATTATGCTCCCAAGACGCCATTGCTATGTCTGCGAAGACCTTTAAACTCCAAGTATGCCCAACAATACCATCTCCACTTCGTGGCGACCATGGCGTGATCTCGTGAGCGCCAGCCGGTTGGCCGGGCTGGCGGAAACATAATAACAATAACATGCGTAACAATGCAGAGTCGGTTCTCGCTCCTGAATCGTCCTAAAGTCGATCAAATGCAGTCCTTCAGTGACGCCGTCTCTTGGATTCGTCGATCTCCTCGCCCATTTCCATGGGGTTGGCGGGATCAATGTAGGCCGACAGCCTAGTGTCACCCCAGCGAGCGCCAACGGTTACCCAGACACCCTTGATAAAGCTGTTGCCCATGACGGTCTCACGGTGGCCTCCCCAGCGCAGTCTGTGGTCACGGTCCATAGCACTGTTACCCAAACCGCCATTTGTGACCCATTCCTTGATTGCGTTCTTGATGAACTCGATCTTGCGACGGAAGTCATTGGCGGCGGGTATTCCCTGCAGTTCTGTTGGAATCTCCGGGCGCCGGCGCGATGTCGTGGTCGTGCGACTAGAACGGGCCGCCGAGGGCTTGGTCTGGAAGTTCAACAGCGTCTGCAGGGGGTAGGAGAACATGGCCCTCTCGTCAAGAGCAGCAGCGCCCAAACTGCCAGTAGTTGCGAGGTTCTGCGCCGCGTCCATGGGAAGGTGCCAGAAGTGACACCATGTTCCTGCGGCGTTCAGAACGATCTTGGTGTGATCGGGGAAGTTGAACTGTGACCTTGTTAGCTATGCCATGTTATTTTCGTGTGACCTGAGCTTACCTGAAGGTGTCCATCACCAAAGACCCAGCAGCCAACATCACCGAAGCGTTGGTAGAACGTGACCAGGTCAGAAGGCTGGGAATTGTTGACAGAGAACTCCATCGGCCGAGTCACACTCTCCTCAGCAGGGACTGGCTCGTCTCTGCCGTAGGCAATCATATAATTGGCAAACTTCTTCCAGAGAATCACACGCTCTCGCTTCCTGTGTTCATAGACATCCTTGCCAGGGTTCAGCTTTCCGGGCGTTCCGTCCTCATAAACCGGCACGCGGAACTGTTTTGAGGAGACAGAGACTCGAGTGAGACCTGACTCGCCGTTGTTCTCGTAGAAATGGATGTCTTGCTTGGGCGGCAGCGGCTGGTGTCTCTCGGGATATGACTCGTCGTGACGTCGTTCAATGTGTCGCTCAGCATCACGCACAAGCATGCAAGCCGAGGGCAGTGTTAGGGTCTTGCTAGCCTCGGTCGTCGGAATGTCCCTCAAAATACAGCCGACACCACCATCGTTCAAAATATAGCCAAGGCCAAACTTGTTCGTGTAATCGACCCACTTCACAACTACATTGGGATGAGGCGGGATGGTGTCCTTGGACGAGATGATGGCCATAGTTCGAGCGTTGAGAGCGCGCTCCAACTCGGTCTGCAGCCTGCGAAGTCGCTCAAGGATCACATCCGGCTTTGAACCTGCTACCGGTTCCGCAGACTCCGCTGGACTGAACAGCGACGCGCTCTCGGTTTGGTCAGAGGAGATCTTGAGATTCTCCAAGAGGCCCGTCATAGTGACTGTGGCTTGGTTTGAGGACTGAGAAGACATGGCCTGGGATGACGTGGCTTGGGTAGGCAGAGAGCCTGCTGACTGCGTTGTCGGGAGTGGTGTCCGGCGTGCACTAGACTTCCTCAACGGAGCCTCAGCAAGCTGGTTCGTTCGAGATTCTGGCGCGCTATGCTGTCTGACTGATCTCGGGCGAGGTGCTTCTGCAGGCTGAAGAGGCTGGACAGGGGCTTCCGGAGGAGGCCGTGGTCTGGCAGAACTTGTAGAGCCAGCCATCGCCGGAGGTCGATTCTGTGCTCTTTGTTGAGCTGCAAAACTCTGAGGAGGTTGACGCAACAGACCTGTCGGCGCCGTTTGCGAAACAGACAATCGAGGCTCTGAGGCTGCATCAGGACGCGAAGACGTCGAGGCAGCAAGGGCGCGAGCGTGTCGTTTCTCACGAAGCCAGTCGTCAAACGGTCTGTAGACAACGTCCTCTCCCAGAGGAATCATGGGAGTCAACCCAGACTTCTCCTCCGCAGCCATTTCCTTCCATGTTTGAGTGTGAACAACCTGCACCGGCGTCCAAGGGCCAACCCCGCAATCCCTGCACATGTCCTCCATATTTCTCTTGGTGACTGCCTGCAGTTGAGCACTCATGCGGTTGGTGTAGAATTCGGAGCCGTCAGGAGGCAAAGTAAGGAGTCTTGTCGAGATATCGGCCTCGACAGGGAAATAGCCACAAGTGAAGAAGGGATGTTGCACGATGATGTCTGGATCGGGTCTCATATCCGCGTCCTCGAGCATCGTGGCTACACAGTCCTTGGCCTCCCCGCTAATGTACTTTTGTGACGTCTCCGGATTCGGCCATTCGTAGTCTCGCTCTCTCGCTCGGCGGTAGATTTCCTCGGTGCTTGTCGATTGGAAGGGCGGCTTGGATGTCAACATGGCAAACCTGATTCGGTTAGTAACTGTTCCGGAGGCATCTCCAAGGTGAAAGAAACTAACATGATGATACCCAAACTCCAGATGTCAACCTGGTGGTCATGCCCCTTCTTTCCCTTCTGAAGAATCTCCGGAGCGATGTAGTTGGGCGTGCCGCACAGAGTGGTCCTTCTTATGGTCTGCATATCGCGGCCGGTAACAAGCAAAGCAGCCAGTCCAAAGTCGCCAACCTTGGCGTTCATTCTGTGGTCGAGGAAGATATTCCCCATCTTCAGATCACGATGGATGATGCCCTTTCCATGCATATACTTGATAGCTCCGGCCACTTGCACAGAGTAGAATCGAACCTCGGGCTCTGTCAACCCCTTGCGCTTCTTGACCATGTCCATGAGAGAGCCGTTGGTGCAGAGCTCGAGAACGAGATACATGCAATCATGGAACGAGAAGGCCCTGAAAAACTGGACAATGTTCTTCTGGTTCATTTTCGAATGAATCTGGAGTTCGGTTTGGAACTACACGGCGCATTAGACTTGAGCCTGGCAAATTGTGTGGAACTGTAAGAGGCTCGCTGACCTTCTGCTGCATCTTGGATGGCATCAGACTCCGCACGATCTTCAGCGCGTACTTCTTGCGCTCCGGCATGAGGTACCCCTGGTAGCACACGGCGAAGCCACCCTTGCCGAGCATTCTCCCGACCTGGTAGACAGCTCCATTGGGACGGTCATTGGCCGGAGGCTCCTCGATACTCGCGGGCGGCTGTGGTGGTGGCTCCTTGTCCTTTGCAGCCTTGAGCTGGACGACCGGTTTCGACGTCTTCATTTCAATGGCCTTGGGCATACGCTGAGCGTTGGCGTCCCTAGGCGACAATGCCTCCAAATCGAGGCCCCCTTTCGCTACTAGTCTATGGGCCATGGCTGTGGCCTCGGACTCTCTAGTAATCGATGCAGTTTTGAGAGGGATATGGCTCTCAAAAACGACGGGCGCCGGACTGCGATCTCAAGGTCGGTCCAGGGTGGTGTAGAGGAAAGGCCTATTGCAGACAATTGTCAGCACACTTGGGGGAAATGCCGTGGATGAATGGATCATGATGAGAGTTTGCACTGTCGAGGATTTGGAAAGAACGGACGAAGTAAAGTCCATGTGCTGTCATCCCCATCTTCAAGCGCAAAAGACCAGAACCGAGCGGGCAAGGCAAGCAGGAACAACACGGACGAGGATTGTTTACATACCAGACTCGGAAGAAGATCATGTGCAGAAAATGCAAAAACGAAGCTCGCAGGCAATTCAATAGCGAATGCGAACTCACGACTGCTGACGAGACGAGTACGTCGCAGAGAACACACCGGGAAATCAGCAGTTGTCGGGATGCTGTGCCGTTGAGACGAACGTAAACTTTTGGTGATGGGGGTGGAGTGAAGGACCCGGTTGGTGTGCACCGCCGCTGTTGACCTTCGCTTCGCGTGCCGTTGCCTGGGAAACTACGAACTGAAAGCGATGTGGGGAACAACTAAGACTGGCCGATGTTACTCCACAACGGACGTCTTCTTTCTGACAGTGATTGCCTTAGTTAAGCAAGCTTGGACGGGCCACCACACTGCACCAATTGATCATTTTTCAACGCCCTGGCGATGTCGACATGTTTTTACTTGCACGTACAACTGGTGACATATACGAAGTGTTCATCAGTTCAGGCCAATTTATTTGACTTCATCTAGCATTACTAAAGAACCGATTTCATCTTCAAAAGCTAATTGGCGGGATGATCATGCCGACAGACAGCTCAGCTCGGACTCGGAGCTCGAGGACCAGTCTCACTCGGCTGGCCGGGATCTGGTGGACCCTGTCGGCTCCGAAGATGGAAAGAAACGGAATATCAAATCAGCGTGCTCCGACTTGTTCCTCCCCTCTGACAGCCCCCCAATCCTGAACGTCGACGTCTTCTGCCTGGAGTGAGCTCTAGTAAACCCGACTTGCTACATCAAATGACTTTTGAATATGGCCGACCTTTGCAATAGCTCTCTCTAGCTTTTTTTGGCCTTCAATTGACCATACCCTTTCGAATTGACAGGGAAAACAGACTGCCAAGACGAGGCCAAGCATAGTAGCACCGAGCTCCCGGAGCTCTCTCCCAACCAACACTTCCATCATTCCTTCGGCCCTCGAAAATTAACCCCACCATGGTACCATTACCTCTCTTCAAGCTCGCCGCACTCTTTGTGCGGCACATATCCAAGTATGGCGCCGTAAGTTGGAAATTCTCAGTCATTGCCTTACTCCCCTCAAGACGTCCCATCCTTCCCGGAAACGAAGCTAATATTGACATCGCCAACAGAACCAAATAAAAGCCCAAGCCCACGACCACCCCAAATTCCGCGCTTTCGCCGCCCGCTACGGCCAACATATCCACCAGCTCAACATGCGCCTGTCAGTGGCCCTCCTACGCAATCCAGACGCCGAGCAACGCGCAAAAGAAAAAGCCGAGGCGGCGACCGTCAAGACGAAAGAACAGGTAGAGAAGGAGGAGGCCAAGGCGCAGAAGGCCAAGCTCGCAGCCGAGAACCCCGATCTCACGAAACCGATACCCTTGACCTCTACATCTGCCTCCGCGTCCGCCTCTTCGTCGTCGTTATCCTCCTCCTCCTCCTCCTCCTCCACCACCACCAGTACCAGCTCGACAAAGGAGCGGCCCAGGTTCAAGAGCGTTTGGCGACGAAAGTTCCGCTCCCTTCCCGAGGCCAAGGCCGTAGACCTCTTCGCGGACGTTATCGGCGACACCTTCATCCTCGGCGTCGCGAGCGCCATCATTCTCTACGAGTACTGGAAGTCGTCGCAGAAACCCGACCAGAACGCGGAGCACATCAAGGCTCTCGACGCCAGGCTCGAGGAGCTGACCCGCCGGGAGGAGGAGCTCTCGCAGAAGGAGGCGGAGCGGACTGAGAGGTATCAGGCCCTGGAGGCCGCTCTCAAGGAGCTGAGGGACCCCAAGACTAAGAAGCCCTTGTTGCCGAGCTTGCAGCTGCTGCCGGCGCCGACGCAGACGTAAGAGACACAGACGCAGACTGCGTCGGCGGCATTAAGGCTTTTGTATATCCGCGTCGCTATCTTAGTAAAAGGGTGGGAAACAGGGGAGAGCTTTGTACGATTTATCATGATACCATCTAGCGGGCGACATGTATCCCCGTGCTGTACCTATCTTATACGGGTACGTGTAATTCAAATTGGCGAGGATTTAGTAGGCCACCTCACTCTCGGAAAGGGCCAAGGAAACATGGCAGGAGTGGAGAGGAAGCTCTTGCCATCGCCAGGTTAAACATTTGACTCACCTCACGTAGAAATTTACCAAGTAACATAAAAAAACAAGACAATTAAAACATTTCAAAGACTCAGATTGAGCGTGGTTCGGACAAGCACCACCACCACCATCACTCAGAACTCCTACGAACCGCGTCATGTTCTGCTCCTCCCTTCGTCAGCGTCCAGATTGGACACCGGCGATCCCTCTCCTAATAAGTAGCACATCGCGATTCCAAGGTACAATGTTGAGTAATATATTCCCTCGTCTCCATTCACTGACAACCCGATAAACAAGAGAGTAGACTAAATACGCACGACATTGCCCTCCCCGTCTCCCAAGACCGGACCTACCGGCTTGTCCTCCTCTCGCCAAAAGACGTAGGTACGCAAGCTACCGAGCAGCGTCTAGAGCGACTCTACAACCTCAACGGAGGCCGCGACGTAGCCATCATGTTCCTCCTCCATCCTGTCGCCGGACAAGCCAAGGACCCGATGGAGGCTTTCATGGACTTGCAAATTGAGTAAGTGGGAGAGTCAACAACCACTAGACAATCACACACACACACACACACACACTTCATCATCACGACCATCCTCACAAACGTGCGTACATACAACTAACTAAAACCTCACAAGGATCCTCGACAAGCTCGATCTGCCCCTACTCCCTCTTACTTCAATCACAGCCCTCCCGTCCACGCTCACGACCCTCCAAACCTCCCTCGGCCCAACACAGCCCGGCACCATCTCCTCGGGAGACCAAGCCACACCCGTCTCCCTCCTCCAGCACATGGCCAGCGGCAATGGGCCCCTCCCGGAACACAGCGCCAACCTCCTCAGCGAATTGGGCCGGTCCCCACGCGAGGTTGCCGCCCTCGCCGACACGGAGCAGGGCAGGGCGCGAATCTTGGACCTGCTGGGTCCGATGGACGGCGCACGGGTTCTCTCGTTCCTGGCGCGGGAGAAGTTGGCCCTCACTTGAAGGATATCCAGTGGGAATTGGGGGCAGCTGTAAGCAGGGTTGGCTGTTTGCGATGCCTTGAGGCCATGATGAGTGGAGAGGAGATGATCACGGTGGGATGGATGCTGGGCTTTTTCGGATGGCATCTCGTTATCCGGTCTCTTGCGTCATTTGACGTGTGTCAACTAGGTATGGAGAGAAGGAGGAGAACCAATTGCCAGGATCGATTGCTCAGCCCGCGCAATATCGTGATAGGGGGAATGGGGAAAGCAGACACGGGGAGGCTGTGTTCCGTGTGCATCACCCAGGGTAGACATGAGACGAGTCGAAAGGGGGCCGGCCGGTGGTTGACCGTTCAAGGCGATGGATGTCATTGTGTCAAGCTGTGGGGAGGCGCCTCGGACTACTGGAGGGAAGGCTTTGACAACTCTGGACAACTCTGAGAGACCGTGAGACCGAACCAACAACCGCCCAAGAAAGAAGGGGGGTAAGGATGAGAGGAAACGGTTCTCCTCCCAAAGATGGGATTTGACAGTCGCTCGCGCCCCAGAAAAGACCAGCTGACACTGACAACCGCGGAAGAGGCGTTTGGGACTCCTGCCAAAATTTTCACAACGCGCTAGTATTACAACAAGACGGGATGAAGAAGGTAGGTCCCCAAGGATCCGTGCGTGGGCTTGCGTCTTCTTGATTTCTCTGACCGTCTGACGGCTAAGCCGGACCATGGGTACGTGCGTGAGTGTGTGTGTGTGTGTGTCGGTTCGTATGGTTGGCCCCTCCCTGGCCATGGGAGGAAGAGAAAATGTGAAGCATTTGATGTCGTGGGGTGGGAAAGCGTCGCAGCCATTACCAAGCCAACGACTTGGGCCTCCCCCTCCTTTCCCGGCTGTGCTCAACAGCCGTGCTGATCAGGGAAAGCCATTCTAGGGCCCCTGTCGGTTTTGTTCTTATCATGATTGGTTTGACGAATATCAGAGGAATGAAGAGAGATGGGAAGAAGAGGGGTTGTTCCAGCAAAGTCTACGTTTGATCAGAGGTAGGATCGATCGGCTTCAACGGTCGATAAAGGTGTCGCATTGTGACACCCGTGTAGAAAAGCGAGCAAGCGCTAATTTGAAGCACGCACTGGTCAATCTCTGTCCTTACCATCTCTCACCCGATTGTTGATGATTGTCAGTATGGTTGTTCCATGGTCCTTTGACACGCTTAATCAATATTCCCGCCTCTTGGGAGCGTCGTCAATCTTGCACAATGTCGAAAAAGCTCTAGAAGTTTTCTTTGGGTCCCACCTCTCTCCCTCCCCCTCATCCTCTCGCGTGTTCGCTGTCATGCAAAAGACGTTGAGGTGGGGATTGCAGTGCCCCTCCAAGGGTCTGGTTCCCTCAGGAACCGGGTTGATGGGGGGGGGGGTGAAACCTGGAAAACCGACACAGGAACACATGTTATGGTGGCTTCAGCACGGCACTCGTCACCCGATCACCGAGTCGTGCCCGCAGAGACCACCGCATCCGAACCACAAGCAAAAGTTGACGGTGAATGACTGGTTAACCCGGCAGGGGAGTTCTAATGCCGTCCGGACCCAGGGCAAGGAGGCGGGCAGTCCCATATTGCTTCCCATTTTGCTTCCCATATTGCTTCCACATTGCAGCCATATTGTCGCCGTTATTGCATCCATATTGCGCTATACTAGCCATTATATCGCTCACAAGCTTGTCGACGAGGCGCTTAGCTCGGATTGGACGCTGGGAGATATGCTTATCTGTCTGCTGAACTGTGCTCGTGGGAAGAGCTCAAACTTTGGCTTATCAAAACCGCTAGCACTAAACTACCTTCATAAGAGACAAACAACTTTTAAAGGCGACGAGGGGGCTAGCTGCGATATGAGACCATCGCTTCGCTTCGTTCGCGCAACCAATGTCGGATCCTCGCCTGGCGATGTCGGTGTAAGCAGCTCTCGGTCGAATTGATCCGGTGGGGACAACTGGTGTTGCATGGCATGAGCAGATCTCGCCAGCCATTGCCGTGGTGCCATGCTGCCAGAACAATCTACCCATGGAGAATCTATTTCTGGCTCCGGACTCTGAGTGCAGGGAGCCCGTCCAGAGTGGAATTGAGGCAAACTGACCGCCTCTGTAGGGTGAACTGTAAAATTCGTCAGTCCAGACTCCAGACTCCAGACTCCAGACTTCGGCATCCAGCGTGAAGCGAAATCAATAATGCTGTGATTGATGCCCGGCGGTTGCAGTAGCACAAGTGACGACGACTCCTTCAACCGGAAGTGCCAGCGCTGCTGGTTGGCCAGGCCCCATGAGAGGGTGGGTATCCGCCATGTGGGTTCCTGCGAGGGGAACCAATAAGCCGCGTCGCCGAACCGCCCTCTTAAATAGAGTTGAACACACCTCATTGTTAGGTACCTTAGCGGCGGGTGGTTCACCTCCTCTGGTCTCGCCAATACTTTTATTTTTAGTCTTCATCGAACAGCAGTTGCGATGTAGAGGAGCGGATGGGCGGGAGATATGGTGCAGGCACTCACATTGTCACATCGGTAAGAGAGTGCACATTTGCACACTTGGCATTGAACAAGACTCAAATAAGACCCTGCAGGCCAGCAACTTGTCTGCCGAAGCGACTCTCGACATGAGCAGTTTTCTGGCCACGTTGCTTGGGGTTGTGGCTGGAAACTATCGATTCGATTCGAATCCTCACAACCCAGCAGCCGGTGACAAACGCTGAATCGGGCAAGTAGCAAGTATAGCGAGTTGCTATTATCGGCGGACAGCACGCAGCATGCAGTCCACCGTGCTCGACCCAAGAGCACATTCCGCACATGCGTCTCTGGAGACGTCGGTGATACACAAGGATTCATTGCCCACGCCAAGACCGTTGACACCGAGGATTTTTCTGGTGCGGGACTGGCGGCGAGAGGCTGATACTGTGGCACCACGAGCAGCCAAGGTGAGGGGAAAGAGAACGACATGCACTCTCAAGTATGAACCCTCCACGCCAAGGCTTAGTCTCGAACGGTCGATCAGAGCTGTCAGCATCGTCTTCCGGGCACTTTCCGCAGAAAGCTGACGGTGCCAGCCAGTCTATCTCGGCGCTTTGTTGAGAATAACGGCTTTACATCCCAAAAGGACCATCTTAAGAGTCAGGACGCTCGGTCCTGTTGCGCCGATGACGGGGTAAGCCAGCAAGACGCCCAGACTTGAGCGTCATTGGTAGCGGGAGCAAAGCCACCTCCCAGACTACAATCTGGTGCCCTTCTCCTCTCCAGCTTTAAGGTTCTGTCGGTAAGGGTTGCTTGACAGGTTTTGATGGCAACGTCACAGTCCCTAGTGTGGTCTGTTCTCAGTCGGAAGTGCAGAGTTCATCCTCACTGCCCCGAGTCGTCTGTTGATCGGGTCAAGACGACATCGACTAGACTGAGCGGGGGCCTGCTCTGTGAGACCAGAGGCGTTGGGAAGGCAGGCGTTCATGCGGTCTACAGGTTTGCTGAGCAAGACGACACCGCCATCTTTCCTCGGTTGTCTTCCGCGCCGTCAACTCGCAGCTCCGACAATAAGGCCTGGTTACTTTTAACAATGTTAGCGAGCGACTGGAGTTAGATATTCAGTTTGGCATCTCGGTCGGTCGGTGAGGAAAGCCAAGGAAGCTACGTACAGTCGCCGGGCATCGATTGATAGTTCTCCATTACTATGTAGCTGCGCCGTACGAATACACTAGTCTCCCGTCATCGACAACGGTGAAGAGCGTGCCCGCAGTGGGGTATGCGACGGCCCCCAAGAGCAGACGAGCAGGGAACAGAGAGAAAAAGAAGAAAGAAAAGTCCGATCCTTGTCAATACTTCCCATGTGGCATGCAGAGCTTTGCCAGCCTCCAGCCAGAAGGGGACTTTCTTGGAGCCACCGGGACCAGGGTCGGTTGTCCACCTCGGACAGGGGGGCCAGTCGTCGACAGGGTTGGGTGTCGGACGAGATGATGACTGCAACCGGACAACGAGCAGCCGTCTGATCTTCTCAAACCAGCTTTGCCTCAGCACAGCCATTCTGGAACTTGGATGCGTCTGAGGCGGTTTTGATCAGCCGTCTCAGATCTTTGCAGAGGATCAGATGGCATGAACTCAGGGTGGGAATTGGGAATGGAGTGGTAAAATCTCTTCTGATCTGAAGTTCGGGGCGGCCTGGGCTGTATCGTCTTGTCGAGTCGAGTGGGTGCGCGATCTCTGTTACGCTTTCGACGCCATCTGGACGATCAGAAGAGTTCGTGCGGCATCCCTCGAAGAGACGTCCCTTCTGACCCAAGGTGGGATGTATCCGTACTTTTGGGTGCTTGCCTCACGAGGCGACGCTGTACGAAGTACGCATAGGTACTTAGAATACTATGTAGAACATGAACAGTCGGACCGCGATGCTTTTCTTAGGCACTGCTGCTGCCGTGGTAAAGTGCTCGGAAACAGACAATGGCGGGTATTGTGTCTTTTAGCCTGTTAATCATCCTGTTCGACTTGCCTATCACAGATTTCTCTGCATTCTCATTTGCTGAAACGGCCGAAGCTAGATTAATTAAATCGACCACATCGATTCCTCTCCTCCAAAAGTGGGTGGAAGAACACGCCCGATTTCGCCTAGGTTGGCACATCGCATCACTGGAGGCTGGGGGGCTTACAGGGCACTCGCCCACTGCTAGAATAGTACCTAGATGGCCTGCTGGGAGTGTCTCCCCTCTGCTGATATGAGGTGCGCTGTGCTGTTCTGCTGTTCATCCATCTTCTGTCCGTGGCTCGCCAGGGGGAAGCAAGTAAGGTAGGGTTCGTAAGATATTGTAGGAAGAAGCGAGGGCAAAGCTGGGATGACGGGAAAGGTACTTGGCTTTGCTGCGTTTTCTTAGGGAGACAAAAGGTATCCATCTCGTCCCTTCCACCGCTGGGATGCGATGATCTGACGGTACACCAGACGACCCCAGTCTCACCCCTGGTCCCGTCCCATGGGGCCAGGGGGCAGGTGCGCTCCATACTCGCCTGCCAGAGGAGAGGCTGCAAGGGGTCTCATTGGCCCCGAGCTCATTCTCTAACCGCCCACGACTTGTGCGTACGGGTCCAATCACGTCGATGCGTTAACCATCTCTGTCACTCGACCCTTTCCTCGACCCCCTCGTCACTCACCCGAACCATTGATATCCATGGCCACCTCACATTGGCATTGGATTTCTTTCTACGGAGTACTGTTCGAGCCATTCACACACACCAATGCTCAACTCGCCTAGCCCGCGCATCGCCTCGTCCCCCACTGCGTATATTGCTTGCAGGAAACAATGTCCCCCCCTCTCTCTCTTTCTCTCAGTCTCACCGCGGTCTCGCGTACCTATCCCGGTCAACGGTGCATCCGTACCCGCCCACCTACATCCTTCACCCACGCATATCCCCATCATGCAGTCAAGTGAGCAGTCAAGTGACGGCTTCAACCCCCCTAGGGGGGCCAGGCCGACTTACCTCTAGTGCGTAGTCTCCAAGACCTGTGTGATCACTTTCAACTGGCTCTCGACTGAGATCATGGCTCGGCCATGGCCGTGGCTGGGTCGGGCGGGTATAGTAGCGCCGTAACACTGCGATGCCAGACGGACGGACGTATGATGCCGCTTGATGCCGCTTTCTGCGCCGCTTTCTGCACTGCACTTCTTTCTTGCATCCAATCCCGCCTAGATGGACCGACCAGATCACGCACCCCGGTTTTCTCCCATCCAAAAGCTGGCGTTTCTTAAAACTCGTCTGCCTCCATCTTTCGCGTGTGCGACCATCCGTCGTTTCTGTCCCTCTTCAACCTCCTTGCTTCACAAGTGTCCCTGACAGCCGTCCTGTCTGATCATCAAACAACCTTCATGCGACGGGGGCGATAGAGCACAGATCCCTGACGAACATCACGTACCGGAGACTCCACCACAACGCTTCACCATCCCGACTACTGCCTCATACCCCCTACCTCACCACGGTCTCCCGGCACTAGGAGGATATCTCCCACAGAGCCTCAACGTCTCGAGCTTCAGCCTTTAGATCTCACAATATCCCGGTCCACGAACATCACATGCCGTCACCGCTGCCCCCATCTGCTGGCCACTGACCACCACCATCACCATCGTCAACGTCGACGCCAACGCCTACCTGACCCCTGGCTTCGCCTCCTAGTTCTGCCTGGCTGGGCTATAGCAGAACCAAGACCCCTCCCGCAACAAGAAACGTCTCAATGCCGCTCGGATGCCCGCTGTCATCATAGATCAGATTGCTCGAACCTGGCTCTCAAGAGAACTCGCTCCAGCATCGAGCCAGAAACACCCGATACTGATACCCTGCCCAGCAAGCTAACCCAGGGCCCATCCTGATACAAGCCTCAACCAGCTTTCTGTGCGGCTCGGCGTCTTGCCCACTGGGCTGGACCAAGCCCACATACTCCTCCACCTCTCACACAACCAGGCACACACCAGCATCTGCACCCTGGTCTGGTCTACCCTTACCCTTCAGTCCAAGTCGTCTCATCCATCCCGACTCTCTCGTCTCAATATAGATCTGTCGCCCTCCCCCGCCTCGTTGTTGGGTTGACACATCTTGTCCTTCCTCTTGACTTTCTCTTCTTTCCTCGTCAGCGCTGCGCACTAGCCTGTCGGTATCCTTCTTTTAATATCGACACTCTTCGATTCATTCGCCTTCACTTCTTTTTTATCCACCCCGCAGGTCCGGTACCTATTCCTTTCCTTTCGCCGTTGCACGGTTTGCCTTTCGACCCAGTCGCCTTTTACACCACTACCCGTTTTATTCGCAAGAGAGGGTTTCGATCTCGACGACCGCGCCTTCGTTCCTTTCATTCGCTGGTTCAACGGGTTGTTTGGGAAAAGAGGAAGGACACATCGAGGGCGCAACACAGGCACCGACGCAACAGGCAAAAGAGGGATTCAAAAGATTTCGCAGCACAACTGAGTAATCAGAAAGAGAGAGGAAAAGAAGGTTCCACGGAAAAGTCAGCAACATTTTTTAATCGAGAAGGATGGGTCGTCTTATTAAGAACCATTGGGCTCGGCTCATCGTTATGAGTGCGGCAGCTTGTAAGTTGGAGACCTCCATGAGGGCCAAAGCATCTTCAATACTAACTGCGTGCGAATAGACCAGTTTGCAGCTGCTCTCGAGGGCTTCTTCTGGCCCAAGATCTTCTGGGACTTTTTGACCAAAACACTGGACCCAGCTGTCAAACCCGTGCCTGTGTTACAAATTATCAATCTCATCATGGCCTTGTTCATGGTGGCCCTGGAGTGGCCTTTGGGATTAATCGCCGGCTCGGCTATCCACCGCAGTCTTGAGTTCCGCCTCATCATCCTCCCTCTCACCACCCTCGCCGCCGCCCTCATCTACCAGGGTACCAACTCCGCTCTCTACTACATTGTCGGGCTAGTCGTTTACTTTTGGGCCTACAGCGAAGGAGAGGTATGACTGGATGCTTCCAATCTGACATCACCCAAGCTTTCTTGCTAACTCGGCACCCAGATTATCTGCGCTAAGCCCTGGACACTTCCTCAAAGAGGCCGCAACGGCCCTCGCGTGTAAACCGCGCTCGCCTCTTCTCGCCGCGGATACAACCGTCTCGTCCTCGCACGGTACATTGACCTGTCAGAGAGACTACCGTATACCCGATGGCGAGCAAGTCTAGACAAACTCGGGAAAACCAACGAAACCTCACCGTTCTTTCCTCGAGCAAATTATGACAACTTTTCTTTTTCTTTTACACGTTTATAACGATCACAAACGGTATCGCGGCATCCAGCGTCGGCGTTATTCCTGACAACAAAGGTTTACATGACTCTTCCTCAACTCTCGGTTATGGCGGCTCGATAACGGTATAACCTTAATCAACCTTTTTTCTTCTCAAAGTCATCAAAACGGGGGTATGCTTTCTCGTAGCAAGGGGTGGTGGTGGTGGTGGTGTTGTGTGTGGATGAGGGCGGACGTGGGATGGAATAGCCGAGCATCGTCGTCGTTCATCCTGTTTCGAATCAGCTTATTATGGACTTACACACATGCGCTGCAGGGGGCTGGCGTTTGTGTGTGGCGCGTGGACCAGGGCATGGGTCCGTCGGGGAGAGGCAGGATTAGAGACAGGAGGCTCCTTGGCAACTCCATTTGGGAGCATGCCACCTCCCATGTTCTGGAGGGTACATTGTATCATCCCGAAGCTTGGTTCAAGAGCATCTCGGGATAGATCCTGGCTTTCGGGGATGGGATGACGCGAGAAGGAAAGATGGAGGAGAAATAGGGACGCTGAGAGAGATTTTGCCTGAATAGCCTTTCCAAAACGCTGTCACAAGACGTGGTCTTGGTCTATAGAGATCAAAGCTGCCAATGCGACATCTAATATCAAGACCGAAAAAAAAAATATGACATTGACAAAAATTCACCAGAACAACCATGGGTCCCTCCTCCTTTTGCTCTTCCCTCCGCTCCATCTTCATGAAGTGACACACGATGTGACGGCAATTTCGGCAAGTATGCTTAACATCCGGTGACATATGGTATAGGTGACATGGGGTTCATCCGTCTCAGATTATCTCCTCGGACTAACCAACTGGGAAAGGGAAGACGGGGAAAAGGTTGCTGTCGACCCGTGATGGGGCTCATGGCCTCTCTCATACTTTACATCCGCAGCCAAGAGCACCGGCGGTTCATGAGTAGCACCAAGATTTCTTCTCAGGCGTCATGCGACCCACAGAGTTGTGGATGACCATAATATAAAGTAACGAGGTAGGTAGGTCTTGAATATACCAGAGGACCAACACACAACGAGCATCTAGACAACGAACCTTTTCAGAGTTTGAGCGGTGGTCGAGAGATGGTGAAGGAAATGCGAGGCATCAGAGGGGTGATGAGAGCCCACTCAAGTGCTTGCCTCACGTCGACCATTTCAGTCTCGATTTGAGAGCCCGTACTCGGCACCTGGCTATGGACAATGCAGCTGTCATCCGCTTTGGGCCTAGTCAAGTAAATAGTGGGCCGCATAGCTGCAGCAGCTCCTCTGTACGTTCTTGCTTCCCTTCTACCAGAGCCTTTCTTTCTACGTGATTAAATTCTCAACTAACTTAAGAACTTCTTTGGGAAGAAATTCAAACTATGGCGTATGCTTTCCGGAAGCTCGTTAGGCAGACGTCCTTGGAATGTCTTCTTCCTTTTTTTTTTTTTTTTTTTCCTTTGGGTATAATTTTCGTCGAAGAAGAGACTATTTTCGGGTACGGGTATACGAAGGCGGCTAAAGCAGAGGTGACGGCTACGGTTTGCCCGGACCAGTTACCGATGCTCCTCGATTTCCCGTCCAACCTGTGGGTCACCCTCAAAGATGTGACTGGCCTACCAGAGTACAACCAAAAAACAGAAAACACAACCACGCTCATCTCGCAACTCCTTTTCTCCACCCACATCATCAACCACACCCGTCACGATGCTCTCGAGAAGACTTGTCGCGACTGCGCGCTCCGTGCCGCTGCGCCGGTACCAGCCGCGTGCACTTCCCCTGCAGCTTCCCCAAATGATGCAGCACGTCCGCAGCTATGCCGACAAGATCGTCCAAGTGCCGCAGATGGCCGAGTCCATATCCGAAGGCACCCTGAAGCAGTGGTCTAAGCAAGTTGGCGACTTTGTAGAGCAGGACGAGGAGATCGCCACTATCGAGACTGACAAGGTAGCTTTGTCCATCCGGAATACCCGAAGCAATGACGTTACCGTTACTGACCACAACTCCTTCTCTTGTTGCACAGATCGATGTCGCTGTTAACGCTCCCGAGGCCGGCACGATCAAGGAATTCTTGGTAAACGAGGAGGACACCGTCACTGTCGGCCAGGATATCGTCAGGCTGGAGCTTGGAGGCGAGAAACCCAGCTCCGGCGACGCCAAACCAGCGTCAGAGACGAAGTCGGAACCCGAATCCAAACCAGAGCCTTCCAAGTCAGAATCAAAGCCGGAACCTAAGAAGGAGGCGCCTAAAGAGGATGCGCCTGCCAGCAAGCCCGCTGCGCCGGCAAAGGAGACATCAAAACCCGCCCCCGCCCCCGAGAAGGAGTCGGCAACCAGCGCCGCGCCGGTCTTTGGTAGCCGTGAGGAACGTCGCGTATGGTTTCCCTGCAACTCCTGCACGTTCTATATCCCCTGAGCAACAAAGCTAACTAAACTTTTTTTTTCCCGCAGGTGAAAATGAACCGCATGCGCCTCCGAATCGCCGAAAGACTCAAGCAATCGCAGAACACAGCGGCTTCGCTTACCACCTTCAACGAGGTTGACATGTCCTCCCTCATTGAGTTCCGCAAGCTGTACCGCGACGACGTCCTCAAGAAGACCGGCGTCAAGCTTGGTTTCATGAGTGCCTTCTCTCGCGCTTGTGTTCTGGCCATGCGCGACATTCCCGCCGTGAATGCCTCCATCGAGGGCCCCAACGGCGGCGACACTATTGTGTACCGCGACTACGTCGACATCAGCGTTGCGGTGGCTACCGAGAAGGGTCTCGTCACCCCTGTCGTACGCAACACAGAGTCCCTGGACATGCTCGGCATCGAGAAGGCCATTGCCGACATGGGCAAGAAGGTATGAGGTTCCCACTCGTCATCAAGGTTCAACGCTAACAGTGAGATATCGCAGGCCCGCGACAACAAGCTGACCATTGAGGACATGGCCGGCGGTACCTTCACCATCAGCAACGGTGGTGTCTTTGGCTCCCTCATGGGAACCCCCATCATCAACCTTCCCCAGACTGCCGTTCTCGGACTCCACGCAGTCAAGGATCGCGCAGTGGCCGTCAACGGCAAGATCGAGATTCGCCCCATGATGTACTTGGCGCTGACTTACGATCACCGCCTTCTTGACGGAAGGGAAGCCGTGCAATTCCTGGTCAAGGTCAAGGAGTACATTGAAGACCCCAGACGCATGCTTCTGTAAGGAGAGCAGCGCTGCTTTTCGTTGAAACACCACTGCATACACACGATTCCAAGTTCGAGAGCATTGCGATGATTGAGAGGAGCCATTGTACCACTACTTACCTTATTTAAACTAGGACGGAATGCGAAACTAGGATTTCTGGGAGGTTTTGTTGTGCCGATGAGTGATTTGTACAATTTGTTCTTAAGATGTCAAAAAGCCACAGCAGCAGGTGGGGAGGAGGGGCCAATGGTCTCAATAGAGCCTCTTTATCGTAAAACTTGAGCTCAACAAGTCAGTCTATTCCTCCCGAGGAGTCGCAAGTCCGCTTTCCACGACAGCAGCAATCCCGATTCCGTACGCCTTGCTCCCGGCCACGACAGCTATCCGTGCAGGAGCTCTCATGAGAATCTTCCATGGCCTGCTCGAGCGTCATCTCAACCCTCAAGCACCGCTTGAGTTTTGGGGCCCCACGGTCGACGTGGGCTCTTGCAGATAGGTAGTCGCGGACCCTCCCGGAGCCTCCTTTGCCTGTCTTTCCGAATTGAGTTTGTATTGTCGGACTTTTAAGCTATTTAGGCTACAGCGATACTGAAAAGAGGGAAAATATTTCTCCAGCAAGGATCTCTCTACTACTAAGCATATTCTCAGGAAGGTGGTGGTAGTGTAGGTTCAGGTACTGCCAGCGGCTCCCCGAAACACTTTAGAAACGGGGGCGCACCACATCACGAGCGGGACAAAAAAGGAAAAGAAAAAAGGACTCAACAAACGTTACCTTACACAGCCAACAGGGGCCTCCCAATACTCCACCCCGCCTTTGACAGTCTTGCACATATCCGAACACATCAAAACCGTATGTAGATTGAATAGCCGTCCGTATAGTAGACAATATGCATGAAGTAAGCCTGATCAAGCTGTTGGAAAGCTCTCTTCAAGCTCTTTTCAAGCTATTTTTTCGATCTTTCCCCCGGCACAAGCGTATTGCGAGAGCTTGCTCAAGAGTCAGTAGCCGTGGCTAGCTTCCAGGTTTGGCTGCATGCTTGAGTTTCTGGCCAAGCTTTTGGTACATCGTGGCGGCGATTCATTCCTCAGCGTTTACGCCGAAAACCTTCTGGACATTAATTTACTGTCCATTTGTGGTTTTACCGCAGTGGTCAGGTACAAGGATCTAAGAAGTCGTTTGAGAGAAGTCGGGTGATCGTATTTAGTTATTCGCTACGTAAAACCCATGCAATCGTCCCCATGCTTGATCATGGCGTTGATGTTGAACCCTTGTCGGGCTCGAAGGAGACTTTTGTAAGGTTGTCACACCTGTTCCATCATCCTCCGTTGCATGTAAATTGGTTGATTAGAGACACGATTAATATTCCCTTTCAAGACGTCTTTTTTCGAATTGTCTTTGTTATGCAGGCTTCGTTGAGCGCAATGCCTCACTGCCATCGCTGTTCACACCGTCCGAAACACAACGCCTCAAACTACGCCCTGGGCCACAAGCACGTCGAGTCCGAGAAAATCGTCGGTTGTTACGCGCGAGGGGTATATGCCTTCTGGGAAACGACGTCGGCCGAGCCTGGGTGGCATTGCCATCTCTCGCGTCTGCCCTAACGCGAGACGGCTGGGAGTTGCAAGACCTCTAGTGGGCGACCATGCCACCCTGTGAATCGTTCTTGGGACCCTGACGGTCGGAGAACTGTTGAGGGCACTGTTAACCAAATGCATCTCGGTTGATACTACGAGTCTAACGGATGGTTTACCTCAATGTTCTGGGTGTCACCCTTTTCAAGAATCTGCTTGATCACCTCATCGTCGACGCTAGTGCCAAACTCATTCTCGAGTGTGGACTTGGAAGCGGTGTCGTATTGGCCCTGAGCACCTTGCCTAGCTCAATGAGTTAGCCGCCGTGCGTAAGTGTGGTCATGCGGGGTACGCCGTGGAGGTGATTGGCAGCGTGTTTCGAAGCTGATAACAAGAGGTCCAGTCACTCAATCGCTATGCCAGAGGCCGAAACCATGGTCGTGGCCGGCCTCGGACCCAATCGGCCCCGGAATGGAATGTTGGCCGAATGGGTCAATGTAGACAAAAAGAAGAGGGGAGAATCGAAGTTGCTACCTACTTGTGCGTGACAAAGATCTTGTACGAGGAAACGAAGTGCGCCAGAGGAACAGACTTGTCGGTCTTCCACTTCTTGTAGAGCTCGGGATCCTCAACGAAGATGATGAAGTCGTCCTCCTGGCCCTTGAAGTGGACCTTGGTCTGGGAAGCTTCACCGCGAACCATTTTGATTGTTGTTGTGGTGGTGTGTGGTTGTGTAGAGTGTGTTGGTAAGTGATTGATGAACTCCAATGGAGGTCTCGTAGGTTGATAGTTTTGTGCGTGAAAGACGAAAGTCGTCGGGTATCTCAAGGTGTTTTTGTTTGGTTGATTGATTGATCTGGAGAGAAGAAGGCCAAATGGAGCTCAAAGTAGGCTGCTGCCTTTTAATATGCGAAGGACCTGAGGAGGGGGAGCTGGCCCAGCTGGGCTTGGAGGAGAGGGCGGGAGCTGGGAAGCTCGTGATTTGGAAGGTACGTCATAGGTGCGGAAACACGCGACTGCCTTTCATCACTGCCCCGCCATTGGGGAGCTTGCCCAGGCAGGGAGCGGGGCAGCAATGTGCTCCGTGCATCGCCCACCTGGTCCAGGCACGTCGCCATTAGGTACCGGGAACTCTGAGCGTTCCTGCATCGCACCACTATAAGGTACCTAGTACGTCACCGCTAATCTCAGACCAAGGAAAATAGGCCAAAGGGGTGTTCACAGGTTGCGGCTGGAATGATCCAGATAGGGAAGGAAGCGTTTGGCCTAAGGTACCACGTCCTCACTGCGTCGCCGCACCGCTCTTGGAGTCCCGGGGTACATAAATGCAAGTCACCTCACTGGCAAATAACAGCTTCCTAAGGTAGGTATGTAGGTACCTTATGTTGGGGCTGGCATCGGGAGCTGGACATCCAGTGTCCCAAGAAGGTCCAAACATGGAGACGGACATCTGCAGAGGGGGGCATTGCCGGGAGTCAAGCCTTACGATGGCCTCACCGATATCATCTGGTGTATCTTTGTGTGTAACTTTTTGAAGTGGGTAATGAACAATTTAACGCAAGGGTATCATTATACTCTCGTCAAACTCGACGATAAAAACAACCTGAACTAAGAATAGCTCCATATGCACTCGGTGCTTCTCCCCCCAGAGTCCCTCAATTAAGATAGCCAAGGAGCGTCAGATGATGACTTCAGCGTCTTTCATTCGCATCCAAGGTCAGTTAAACTGTTCTAGTTCGCCCATTAATTCATACCACGAAAGACGAAAAATCTCGGCTGGTGTTCATCGAAAGAAGCTTCGGATCCCCTGTACCAAATCGTCTCTGTTCAATGTACCAACCTTCCCCCAGCGCATCGACGCTTTGTGGGACAGCCTGGGTGCTTTTGGCGCCCGAGTTTGATGCTCCCTGACGCTCTTCTCTGACGGGCAGGGTGACCTTTTAGCGGTGATCTGGTCTCGACGGACTCGGGGCAAGTTGTTTCCTGACGCTGTGCGCAACATGGCTGGCCTTGATGAAAACGCATCCACAGAGTATAAACCACTGTGTTCTAACCGGAGTTGTTCGACTGGATCTGCGTGCACAAGAATCTTGACCGAATTCAACAACGGGGTCGCCGGAGCGCTAACCGTGCTTATTACCTCGACATCGTCGTCGATTTTGGGCAATCGAGCCTTTGTTGTTTCATTAGCTTCACCATCGGGACCGTGCTCAATGTTGGAACTCTCGGCTCTGCAGAGCTTGGAAGAATGTCCGTGGCGCGCGTTTTCTTGTTTCTCGCCCACATCATCGTCAGGGATGAGCTTCCCCATGCTAGCAACGCTGTTGGACCTCTTCGCAAAGGAGCTGGCGATGCTTGCAACGCTGAGCTTCCGCATCATTGTACTAGCCGAGCTTCGTACCAAATGTTCAGAACGAGATCGACCAGTCATACCGGGGAATGGAAGAATATCTCGACTCCAAATATCAGACATGAGAGCTTCAAGTCGAGCTCTCTCGCTTCGCGGAGGTGCAAGGACTGGGATGCGAGGATTCGTTATGAGAAGTGATTGGGAGCGATTGATGGATGCAGTAGATGCGGCATCTGGATTGTCTCGCATAACGCTGGTATTCTTCAAAATGACCTGACACAAGGGCGACTTTGGGCCGACTGTGGTGGCACGATGGATCGATATTCGGCGGGCAATAGTGCCTGGACAGCTGTCAACGACATAGAACAAAGACTTGTTTGATTATGAAAACAAACCTGGTTTTCTAAACACTGTTCCAAGACTCTTCAGGTTCAAAGACATCGAGCTGTACAGATTAGGATCGATCTGCTCTTGCTCCCCTGTTCTGGCAATCGACAATCGGCTTCTCCATTCCTCTTGCTCTCGAGGCGAACAGGCAGTCATTAGTATCTCGTATAACTGGGAGTCGCACTCGAAAACAAGCTTCCACGAGAATGGAGCCGTGTGGCATTGAAGACCTTTGAAAGGTAAGCAGAGATACGCAGGCATTTGTGAGGAAACGCTACAAACCTCGCCCATTGTCCGTCTCCTCGATTTTAATGCTGGCCAGATTTATGCATGCTTGGATAGTGTAGATCTGGTCCACTTTGCTGGCCGAAGCTAGGCAGAGGACATTGTGGTAGAGGAGACAAGTCATGTACTGTCCTTTGGCGCCGTCTTTGGTTTGCCAGCAAACATGTAGCGCACCACAAACCTCGACATGGCCAAATGACCTGATTCGGTTCTTTGAAGCTGCGTCAAGTTTCTTCCGAGGGCTGTTAATCGCGGACTTGTGGATGCTGTGAGCCGTCAACTTACTTGTTCGGGGAATACCAGTCGATCCTGGAGAACCCAGGTCCTTTCCAGCGTGGACTTCATTCGACTATCATTCGTTGCCCGGTTAATCTCGGCCGTTGCCTCTCGCAATCGCAGAAGGGCGCTCTCGACCTCCATGTGGGAATTCGGACAGTCTGCCACTGGCGTGTGCTTCAAGAGTTCGGCAAACAGCAGAGGATACTTGCAGATACGCTGGATGGGCTAGATATCCATCAGCATGATGCCCGACACTCGAAGCACCATGTCGCTTACCTTGACAAGAAGGTCTCCAATAGTCAGTGACTTCTTTGACTGGTCGGCGTGACTATTCGCGGAACCCAATGATGAAGCCAGTGTCTCGATCCCTCGCTGGTAGGTTTCCCATTGTGGCATTGTCCGATGGGCCGAAGCAACGTCTTTGATCATCATCTCATACTTTGCGCCATATTCTTCGTAGATGAAGAAGCGGTTCATCTAACAGCAGGGTCAGCAACATCTCACAGCCGAGCTAAAACTTAGACTAGAGCACTTGCCTTCCTGCTGAATATCTTTGCCACATCACCGGCAACCTGTGCTTCAGATATCATCCCGGGAACTTCCTGAAGCCAACTTATAGCCCTGTCGTCGTCTTCGGGAACAGAATCAAGACTCCTCAGTCGCTGATGTCTACAGCTAGGGGGCTTTTTGAGCAACAGCGGAATCTCCATCTGTGTGTACTCTGAGTCTGGCACTGCACGGTGCAACTCGCCCAACAACTCTTCATGAAGTTCGACGATGTCTGTGAGATTGCGATTGATCGACGACCTAAGGCCTGGGGGCAGAGTGGGTAGAGAAGCGAGAATTGTAATGTAAACCTATCAAAGTTAGCCTTCTAAGCTTTCTGCAATATCTTGCTGAAGCCAGTCGTGTTAACGCACATTCATCAGGAAGCGGACGTCCGCAATATAGCCTTCCTCGGTGCTGATGAGTTCCTCCAAGATGCGTCTACGCTGCAAAGCGCGTTCAGTCGCCAATGGATCAGTCTGAGCTGGCCAATCGACATGACAACTGTCTTCTGAGAATCTGGTCGCGGTGAAAGAGCCTCTGCTGCTGCGCTCGGTTTTGGAATAGGCCTGGGAGCGGCGACTGTTGCCCCAAGGGCGTGTTATAGCACTGCCGCTAGCAAGACTGACACTAGCACTTTTCACCGCAGCGACGAACCCAAAAGATGAACCTGATGATGATCTCCTATGGCGAGTCCTCCGAGAAAGTGCTGACCTATCAGCCGAATCCAGAAGCTTCCAAGGTAAGGCACCATCTCCATTCATAGGCCGCGGTCGCTGTTTGGCGCGTCGATGAAGAGTTCTCATCCATCTGTAAAAGGGGCCTCGCTTGGAGGACGTGTCCGAGTCCGAAAGCTCATGGTCGTCGTCGCTATCATCAACTGAGATTCGGGGGAATGGAACAAGATCGTCGTGGGAATCGCCGTTGCTGGGCTCTAATCCTAAAGCAGCCATGCTGCTCAAAGTATCCCAAGCCTCGACACCGTTAATGTGCAGACCGTCGAAACCAGATGAAAGGTCGACATTTTCGAAAACTTCGTCAGACTTGATGGAATCTTGTTGTGAGCCGGGAGATGGGGGATTCGACGTGGCGCAACTTGTCTTACGGCTGATTCGGACGGAACTGGAACGGGAGCAGGATCCAAGAGATGCAGAGTCTGGTGGCAAAGCCATTGCGAAGTCCAAGAAAGAAGATGTAAGACTGGGTTCCAAGACACCAAAAAAAGGAAGCAATAGCGGTTCCAAGAGGATTCAAAACATGATGTGCGGTATCAACACCAAGAGATGAATGATGCAAATTTGCTGGGACTGCCAGCTGTGGGAGGCTCGAGAGGGTTGAAGCAGAGGAGGATGATGTCGCCGGCGTAGTATTTCTTAGTCCAGGCATGGGAGGAAAGCCAGCGTGGGTCACTAGAACGAAGGAGGGAAAGGAGGCTTCCAAGGCCGGAAAGCTCTTTCAACGCGATTGATGGGGAGGGCCAGGAGAAGAAGGAAAGGAGCGGGTACGGCACTATAGACAATGTGAGGAAAGCGGACTGTTGGCCGAAGGGACGACTCCGGCCGAACCACGGAGCTGGAACTCAACATTCATCGTTCTTCCTATGCCGGCTTCCAAATGTTGACGACGATCATGCTCTACATACGGTAGCTCGTTCTCGTGAGAAGTCACGGCGTAGTACGGACCTGCGGTGGACAGTCGCACCCGGCGAATCTACCAACGAGCCGGTCGGGAGGAATGCAGCTGCGACATGCAGCCTGCACGCCGGACCAGAGAATGCGTCTTTAATGTACACCGTTGTCGGGTCAAGATCTGTGGATCTTGCGTCGTCGACGCGAATTGGATGCCATCGTAGCACATGTTCTGCCGGAGCGTGAAGCTGCCGCCGGTTCGGAGTTCCTGCTCAAGCTCAATGCAGGCTTGGTTCACCATGGCGTGTCCGAAGATGAAAAACTCGACAGAGCGGTGACGGGCCGCGGCCGCGGCCCATCAGCGCCATGTCTCGATGCGCGGCAAAGCGAGCGAGAGACAAAGAGACCTCCTCGCCAGTCTAGTGATCTAGTTCTCCATCTATCTGGACCGGACATTTATTCTTGCCGCCTAGCACAAGAGTGTCGGTGGCCTGCTGGTCTCTCGATATCCAAACTACCTTACTCAGTTTGTGCTGCATGAGGGATCCGGTCTCTAGACCACAAGACTTCAAAGTGGATGTCAGTCGCCTCCGAGGCCCACGTCTTGGTCCTGCGTCACGCAAGAGATGCGGGCGATACAATGCTTGCAGGCCGGTTGCCGTACATTTGGCGGCGTTGCTAAACCCTGACTCGGTCTCGGCGTGAGCGCCCAAGTGGCTCCGGAGCGGCCTAGTGTCAGTCCACTCAAGACGGTGACGGCAGGTTTCAATCGGATCGGGAACCTCTAGCTAGTCACGTGAGAAACAGATTATGTCATTACACTGCTACTGGTGTGTTCCGGAGGACTCAGGCCGAAAACAAAAAGCAGGCACGCCAGGCACTTCCAAAAATTAGTCAGCACTGGAGTCGCACCAGTGTGTACCATAGTAAGCTTATCATGTCAGCTAGGCGGGTATCGTATCCAGGTTCACGTCAAAGAACTTCCCTTTTCCCCTCCACTCTGCCCTACGCTCCGGATTATCGGCTTCAATTCTATGGTTTTAATTGGCCCCTGCCCCACGTTTTCTTGCCTCGGGGCCGCAGTGGCTGGTCCCCGATATGGACAGATATGGCCAGGGACGCACAGGTGAATGCTGGGACCTTGAGAGTCTTGTTTCTTGTTACAGGGGCCCCCACCACCAGCACTAGCCCGAGAGGGACAAGCTCGGGATCTTTCCTCGACGGGCAAAAAAAAAGGTTCCAGAAGGGGCAGCTAGGCAAACCTGCCACTGAACGAACACGTAGAGCGTATTGGAAACCCAGTGGGAGTTCGGCGACGATTTCAGCTTCCTGCCCCACCGCAACGGCAATAAGATACGCTGGCGGTTTGATCGCAACTTTTCCAGCACCTTCTTCCCTTCCTCCTTTACATCCTTAACCTTTTCTTCCACAAGGTTCGGATCTCGATAGCTCATTCTCTCTTCAACACCAATTGAAGAGTTCCTCCCTGCGCTTCGTCTTCACTCGACAGCAGTCTCCGACGGCCGCTGCAACTCGGCTAGATAGTGACGGTTCTCGACAAGACTCGTCCCGCGCGCAGCGCAGCTTTCGCGATGGAGAGCGCATTCGCCTCGCCCACCGAAAAGGTCCTCTCGACTCTGGGAGTGAACTCCAAGACCGGTCTCACTGATGATCAAGTCATTGCTTCGCGTACCAAGCATGGCAAGAATGGTAAGTACCTTTGCGACTCGATACGAAACCCACGATAGTTTCATGCTAACCGTCCGTCCGCAGTCATCCCCGAAGAACCTCCGACACCTATCTGGGAACTCATTCTTGAGCAATTCAAGGACCAACTTGTGATCATTCTCCTCGGCTCTGCCGCTGTTTCCTTCGTTCTGGCACTCTTCGACAACGAGGAAGGCTGGAGCGCCTTCGTCGACCCAGCAGTGGTACGTAATCTTGGATGCGAATACCCACAATGCCCAGACTTTACCCGGCTAACGATGCCGATTTCCAGATCCTGACCATTCTCATCCTCAACGCCGTCGTCGGTGTCTCACAAGAGAGCAGCGCCGAGAAAGCCATCGCCGCCCTGCAGGAGTACTCTGCCAACTCGGCCAACGTCATCCGCAACGGCCAAGTCTCCCGTGTCAAGGCCGAAGAACTCGTTCCCGGTGATGTCGTCTCCGTTCACATTGGTGATCGCATTCCTGCCGACTGCCGTATTATCGCCATCGAGAGCAACAGCTTCAACGTCGACCAGGCTATCTTGACTGGAGAAAGTGAAAGTGTTGGCAAGGACTGCGATCATGTTGTCAAGGACGAGAAGGCTGTATTGCAGGACCAGACCAACATGCTGTTCTCCGGAACAACTGTTGTTACTGGTCGCGCAAAGGCTGTCGTCGTCTTGACTGGTTCCCAAACTGCCATTGGTGACATCCACGAGAGTATCACCGCCCAGATCTCCGAGCCCACCCCTCTGAAGCAGAAGCTCAACGACTTCGGCGACAGTCTCGCCAAGGTTATCACGGTCATCTGCATCCTCGTCTGGCTCATCAACATCCCTCACTTCAGCGACCCCAGCCACGGATCTTTCACCAAGGGTGCCATCTACTACTTGAAGATCGCCGTTTCCCTTGGTGTTGCCGCTATCCCCGAAGGTCTCGCCGTTGTCATCACTACCTGCTTGGCTCTGGGTACTCGCAAGATGGCTGCAAAGAATGCCGTGGTCAGAAGCTTGCCGTCCGTTGAGACCCTGGGAAGTTGCAGCGTCATTTGCTCTGACAAGACTGGTACCCTCACCACCAACCAGATGAGTGTTAGCAAGCTTGTCTACATCAGCGAGAACGGATCAGACCTTGTTGAGCACGATGTTGAGGGCACCACTTTCGCTCCCAAGGGCTCCATCTTTTTCAGAGGCGAGACGGTTACCGATCTTACCCGCTCTTCCGCTACTGTCCGCCAGATGACCGAGGTCGCGGCCGTGTGCAATGATTCCAAGCTCGCCTATGATGCGGCCAAAGGTACCTTCTCCAATGTCGGTGAGCCCACTGAGGGCGCTCTCAGAGTTCTTGTTGAAAAACTTGGACCGTGTGCGCCGTCAAACAGCAACCCTGAGGATTGTCTCCACTACGCCAGCTCTCAGTATGAGAGCCAGCTCCCCCGTCTGTCTACCTACGAATTCTCCAGAGACCGCAAGAGCATGTCCGTCCTTGTTCAAAACGGCCAAGAGAAGAAGCTTTTGGTTAAGGGTGCCCCTGAGTCTGTCCTCGAACGTTGCTCTCACACTCTTGTCGGAGCCAATGGAAAGCGCCAGCCATTGAACAGCAAGCTCGCCGATTTGATCGCTAAGGAAGTGGTCGACTACGGTAACCGTGGTCTCCGTGTCATTGCCCTCGCCAGCGTCGATAACATTGGCGAGAACGCCTTGTTGAAGTCAGCCAAGTCCACCGCACAGTACGCCCAAATTGAGCAGAACATGACCTTCCTCGGACTGGTTGGTATGCTTGATCCTCCTCGCCCGGAAGTTGCGGCCTCTATCCTCCACTGCAAGAATGCTGGAATCCGTGTCATTGTCATCACTGGAGACAACCGTAACACTGCAGAGAGCATTTGCCGACAGATTGGTGTCTTTGGCGAGTATGAAGACCTCAAGGGCAAGAGTTTCACTGGCAGAGAGTTTGAGAACCTGAGCGAAAGCGAGGCAAACGATGCCGCCAGGAACGCGTCCCTCTTCTCGCGTGTCGAGCCCAGCCACAAGTCCAAGCTTGTCGACCTTCTCCAGCAACAAGGAGAGGTCGTGGCCATGACTGGTGACGGTGTCAACGACGCTCCCGCTCTCAAGAAGGCTGATATTGGTGTCGCCATGGGATCTGGAACCGATGTCTCCAAGCTCGCCGCCGACATGGTCCTCGCTGATGACAACTTTGCTACCATTGAGGTTGCCATTGAAGAGGGTCGTTCCATCTACAACAACACCCAGCAGTTCATCCGCTACCTGATCTCCTCCAACATTGGCGAGGTTGTCTCCATTTTCCTCACTGCAGCACTTGGCATGCCGGAGGCCTTGATTCCCGTTCAGCTTCTCTGGGTCAACCTAGTCACCGATGGTCTTCCCGCCACCGCGCTTTCATTCAACCCTCCTGACCACGACATTATGAAACGCCAGCCCAGAAAGCGTGACGAGCCTCTCATTGGCGGCTGGCTCTTCTTCCGCTACCTCGTCATCGGTACCTACGTCGGTGTTGCGACTGTCGCTGGCTATGCTTGGTGGTTCATGTACAACCCCGAGGGTCCTCAGATCAGCTTCTACCACCTCTCCCGTTTCCATCGCTGCTCTGCAGATTTCCCGGAGATTGGCTGCCAGATATTCTCCAACAGCTCCGCAAAGTCCGCCTCGACTGTGTCGCTATCCATTCTGGTCGTTATTGAAATGTTCAACGCCATGAATGCGCTGTCCTCGAGCGAGTCTCTGCTGTCACTACCTCTTTGGGCCAACATGAAGCTTGTCTACGCCATCACTCTCTCGATGGCTCTTCACTTCGCCCTTCTCTACACTCCCTTCCTCCAGAACCTGTTTTCTATCCTTCCCTTGAACTGGCTAGAGTGGAAGGCGGTCTTGTACATCAGCGCCCCTGTTATGTAAGTTCACCACCCTTCTCACTCGCTCATCCACCATTGCTAACTTTTCCAATAGCCTCATTGATGAGGTCCTCAAGGCTGTGGAGAGATCATACTTCAGTCAGAAGAAGGCGATCAAGTTCACCAAGGCAAAGAAGGAGAACTAGATGGTTAGAGGTCAGCCCAAGCTAGATCATAGATCACTTGTACCATAGTAGTAGCCCTGCCAATATTGCACAGAGCTGTACATAGACCAAAGCAGCCAACGTCCAGGCACAAAAGCCACACAATGAGGATGTAAATCAAAGTCATTTGTCTAGTTCATGCAGGCTTCGGCAGCCATCTCATAGTGGATCATGCCCATCTATTGGTACAGGCTCGGTTAGAAACCGTTTATTTGTAGCGGTTCTATCGAGTTCTTCCTTCCAAAACACCGAATTCCCCGCGAAAATTAGTCTTGTCTGCCCTTGAGCAGTCTCTTGGTGACCTTGTCCTTCTCAATAATGTACACGTGCGCACCCCATCCGGATAGTGCGTCTCGATCAACAGCGTTTAGGAGCGACTGGGAGATGGTTTCGAAAAGCTCCTCGGGACCCTGCGTGACGGCCTGCGTTAGTTTCTGCTTGCTCTGCTCTGGAAAAAGGAGTTCCCATGCCACGTACCAGATCAGGTTCCCATAAGCTCTCGCACATGCCGAAGAGCTGCTCTGACGCCGTACCTGAGACGATGAAGTCCTTGGCGAAGTCGATGCAGCCAATGCTGTCGAAGCCGCAGATGAAGGGCTTGCCCGTCTTGGGGTCGAGGCCCGCGACGACGGGGGAGACAAAGTACGGGCCGAAGCGGCGCTCGTAGAGGGAGCTGCTGACGAGGTTGGCGAAGGTGGTAGGGGCGATGTTACGCTCCTCACGCAGGCGGTACATGTTGACCTTGTAGCGGAAGAGGTCTCCGACGGTCGTGACGTCGGTGGCGAGACCGGTGAGGCCGAGGAAGACATCGCCGTACTGGAAGATTTTGGGGAAGTTGTTTGAGACGGTCAGGGCCTGGAGGCCGAGGCGGAGATCGCAGGCTATTGCGACGCAGTCCTTGCCGACCATTGCGACGCAGGCGCCGCCATCTGTGAGGAGAGGAGATTAGGATGGGGTTCTTGGGAGTTGGTGGGATCTAAGGAGGATTGAAAGGAAGACGAACTGATAGAGAAGGGAGAGCTCTGGGAGGGTTTGGTTAGCTGGAGGGGGTTCCTTTGCATCTCGAGGCTGAGGAGGGGGAAATGACGAGCGTACCATTTCGGGCTCCTGGAGCGTGTGACCGCTGGGTTTCCAGATTGGAATATTTCTTCAAAGCGATGATTTCGGCCGTAGTAACTTCGTGATGGAGCGCAGGGTCAGCCGTGGATAGCCCGGGTGGTGCGTCGGGGTTCGTCGTTGATGGGGAGGATCGTTGGTTGTGGTTGTAGCTGCAATTGAGGTTGAGCTGATGCGGAATGCTGAGGTAGCGGGACGGACGTGGTTGCACGTAGCACCTAACTGCCTGCTCTTGCTGGGTGGTGGTGCTGCTGCTGCTACTGCAGGGCAAGGCAAACACGCATGGCGCGGCCGAAGCGGTCGGAAAATCCACGTACAGCGGTGCTGGAGCTCGCTGATTGGCCTGAGCTTGGCTGAAGCAGCTTTCAGCGATGTGCTCAGCGACGGGCGATGATGCACGTTCCCCTCCCCGGCCGGGGCCCGACTCGCCTCTGCTGACGGAGCACCCGTACTGCCTGCCTCCCATCCAGCCTTACCTTACGTACCTTACTATGTAAGGTACCTCTAGTCCCCTATTGCCTGCGCTTGAATTGGACTATTTTCCACGATTCAATCGTGTATCTTTACCCTTTGTGGCCTCTTCATGTCCATTCTTATACAGCAAGTTTGCCAGCTGACTAGAAGCGCCCGGTATACGTATACAAATGAATTTTTTCGGACATAAGAATTCACTCAGGTTTTCTGTCATTGTGTTTCGTCGTCCTTCTGCCAACTTCTACTTAACTAACACATGAAGCTTGACGCAACGCCCCGCCGAGCCTTGAACCCCGCCAACAACACACTGAATACGATACCACAGATCAGACTGTAAAGAACACTCCGTGACTTCACTGCGACTGAACGCACTTCTTATTGGAAAAGGAGTAGACTTTTCGCCCACGACATAATCTCTCTCGCCAGGATGTCGCACGTGGTGGTGATCGGCACGGATTTGCGGAGAGCTACAGTCAAGGTCAGCCCAGGCACCTACATGACAGATGTTCTCCAGGAGGCATGCAAGAAGCTCAACGTCTCGAGCGATAAATACCTCTTGAAGTACCTTACTCATTCCACAAGGCCCTACCCCGGCGCGTCAAGCTAATCATTTGGTAGGCACAAGCAAAAGACAGTCGACCTCTCCGTGGTCTGGCGAGTGAGTGGCCTCACCCCCGGCGCCAAACTCGAGCTCGTCCAGAAATCCAAGACACCTTCGGTCGTTTCCGTCGCACTCCAGCTGCCGAGCCCCGAGGCTAACGCGGCGCCGAATGGTCGGTTGATCGAGAAGCTACCCAGTGACTTGACGATATGGAAAGTACTGCGTCAATTCGAGAGCGGTGTCGCGGGCCACGGAAAGAACCTCAACATCACAGCCCGGGGAGTAGCGCAAACAACAAGTGGAGGTGCGAGCGGGAGCGGCCAAATGTACTACGAGACACCAGTCCTCAACATCATGGGCCGGGAGCTTGCAACGTTCGAAGACTTCCAAAAGACACTATCACAACTGGGATACAACTCGGGCAGCGTCCTGATCCGCTTGTCGTTTAGAAAGACAGACCGCACGCTGTTTCAGGCTATGGAGGACATTAGTGGATTCTTCTCCGAGGTTGAGGCAGAGCAGAAGGAGATAGCCCCAACCCCCGCGCCTGCTGTGGAGGGAGCAGAATCCATGGCAGCTGATATTGCAGCCGATACACCGAAGGGGACAGATAAAGAGCACTCTGGTGATGTACTAACGCAAGAAGCATCAAGTCTAGAGACGCAGGCAGAGGGTGCCATGGAGATTGATCAAGCAGAGCCGGCAGACCCTTTGCAGCCTGTCAGCGTCTTTCGGGCACCAAGTGGAACGACTCCTGCGGCAGCCCTCGCAGATGTACCAGAAGACGACTATGCGCCGACGATTGCACACGCCCAACTACACCAGGCTCGCCTTCAGCAGAGCGCACTTAACAAGCGACTCCCCTCCGACAAAGAGCTGGAGGCTCAAAGACAAGCCGAGGAAGCCCGTCTAGCAGCTGTTACCACAGTTCCGATGAAAGTGCGGTTCCCGGACAACACTTCTGCGCAGTGGACATTTGGTCATGACGCTACGGGTGCTACCCTCTATCAGGGCGTGAGATCCGTCATGGCCCACAACACCCAGGGCTTCAAGTTGGTCATACCGGGCAGCAAGGTCGTCATCAAGGATGATGAAAGTGCGAAGAACCGCTTGATTCACGACTACAAACTCACTCGCAGTGTGCTACTTAGTCTGGTCTGGGACGATAAGGTGCCAGTGGATATCCGCAATAAGCCCTTCCTCAAGGGCAGCATCGCTCAAAAGGCCCAGGATGTGACAGTACCGGACATCCCCAAGGGCGATGACACGAATGAGGAACAGGCCGTAGCTTCCTCCTCGAAACCGGAGAAGAGGGAGGGGGGTGGGGATGGCAGTGTTGCGAAGAAGCTTCCCAAGTGGCTCAAGCTGCCTGGAAAGAAATAGATAAGTCTCTATACAATGTTGCAGTAGTACCCGGCCAGTGTTGCGATGGACATGGCGGGCTCATTCATGGGTTGGAGTTTTATAGGCACAAGATACCTAAACCAGGTAGATCATGGTCAAGTCGGTTATCGAGTCGTTCACGACAGCATTGTAGACATCACTTCAAAACGAGTGCAGCATAGAACAAGGCCAAAGTCAAAGTGTGAGGCAGCAATGGGTGTTCTTGAAATTTTGGTATTTGTCGCCTTGAAGCCGGCATCCCTTCCATGATGCAGGATATCAGAAACCGTGATACGGGGGGGAAGGAAGTTTCCGGTGTTTTGTTTTAGAAATAGACCACAAACTTTTTTTGCTGTGACCACGCCTTGACCCATATATACCCAATAGTTTGCTTGCCAGTCCAATAGAACCCCCCCGCTGCGCCCATTTTTGTTTTTGTCGGCTTCGCCATGTTTAAGGAATCGTTTAGTGACCGACACGGCGAGACTCGGCGATGACGCGGGTCATCTCCTCGACCTTTCTCTTGGCGCGGCCGAAGGTGCCGAGCCTCTTCTTGGCGAGCTTACGGGCACGCTTGTCCTTGGAGTTGCGGAGCAACTCGATGACACGGCGCTCGTAGGGAGCAAGGCTGTGGAAAAGGGAAAACCAATGGTTAGCATTTGATCTAGGTTGAGCAGACGTTGTATGAAGTGCGACCAAGTCGATGTCATGTAGTCAACGCTTTAACGGGTCGTGGTGTGTGATATTAACTTACCCGGAGACTTCCTTGACGACGTCACGGACGAAAGCGGTGCGCTTGCTCAGGTGGCCCTTGGTGCGGGAGACACGGGGCTTGACGACACGAGCGGTGGTCTTCTATATTACCGAACATCACATCAACCGGTCAGCGTCCATCTTCTGCAGATAAAGTTCCCCCTCGTGGAGAGGGTTATGCAGAGATCCTCCACGAGGTGAGACGAAGCGGGTGGTGGGATGATTTGGGGAGAGGAGAAAGGGCAAGACACCGATTCCCTGTCCTGACAGAAAGCCCCCCTTCTGTATATTTTTCAATGTGTATCCATCTTCGAATCGGGGTTTTCGAAATCGAGGATTTCGTTTCGTAAAATTCGAGGAAGGGGCTTTCTCTCAGGTCGGGACGGCGACAATGATGGTAGTGTTGGTTCGACATACGTGTCCATGGTTGAGACCGGTGGCAAGACCGGTCTTGACGGGCGCTTCCTTGGCCATCTTGAATGCTGGATGACGGGTGGGTTGTCGGGTTAGTATTGTCGTGATGGTCGGAGGGGGGAAAGACGTCTCGATCAAGTACGACAAAAAAAAAAGTTGCATTGGTGGATTGGGAATTTCAGCGGGTGGGTTTGTGTGGTCACGTGCTCTGGGGTTTGCGAAAAGTCGTCTTCCATGCCGACGTCGTGTTGGAGGGGCTGGCTGGTTTATTTCCGACGTGCTCTGATTGGCTTGTCTCGGTTTCACGTCCAAGACTATTTAGGTAGGTAGGTACCTAGAACAGAACAGACACAGAACTTGGACAAGCTCCAGTCAAGCGTTTTCCATGTCTGTATTGGAACTGCTCTTTATCTTTCGACTCGCGATCACTGGGCACTACAATGTTCTTCGACAGGTTCGCTTTTACTGTGCAACATTAAATCCTTGCACGCAGAGTCGTAGGCGATCGGGAGGAGAATAAATCTTTCTGGCCTACCTAGGCATCAGTCGCGGCGTCTTCTCACCCAAATGTCAACGGTCATGGTCCTCACTCATGGAATGGATGAACATCATCGGAATGATTTCGGTTGATTCATCCTGCTTCACGTAGACCTCACCGACTTTTCCATACTAAACAACCAGCTCACCGTGTACGGTTTTAGAGTCAGAGGCTACGAGGTGCATGCTGTGTCTTGGTGGCTCGACTCTACGCATTGCATACCTCTCGTATCCGTACCTGAGCCAAGACGAGCCTTCTTCTCTGAAAGACAGCAGAGCCGCGCATTGGCATCGTCCATCCAAGCTTTACCGTTGACCTCGTCACTGAGTTTCCTCGCACATAATAGGGCCATTATCCTAGTCCCTTCAATTACAGGTACCTCATGCGATCAAACCATGCCTTGCTCGGGAGCCCCAGCCCCCTGAGCACAGCCTCTCGTACTCCCCTTGACAGAGTAGTGCCGTCCACCCTTCTCAACAGCATCCAGAAAACCATGGTTAGTGGAGCAAGTATCTTCCCATTTCAAGCGTGGTTTGGCGTCTTTCTTAAAAGGGGCATCTCAGATATGATCAACAGCCCAGGAGTGGCCCAGGGCAGGATGCCAGGCCGGGCAACATGAAACATGCAGCTACCAATCAGGTCCGCTGATTTCCCTGGGTAGACAGACAAAAAAGACCAGTCGACGCAACGCCATGGGCATTTATGCGGGCATCAACCTCCCACTTCCGCACGCAGCACCAAGCAGAGAGCTACATAGTACGTACGGCCACTCGTACTATAGCAACCTGGAAACCCATCTTCAATGGCGGGCTGGGAATGGTCTTCTTCCCTGAAATGGGGCTAGGAGGCCAACTGCTTAGACCTCAACCATCCCGTAAACGCGGGCGGGTCGAACAGTTACATCAGGATCTGCATATTGCTCCCGCCCTTTATGAGAGTTTGGCCATGTCATCGTAGCCATCCCTGAAGAGTGTTTTCCTGCAAGGAACGGCATGGGAGATCTGCTAGGTCAGTGATCCAGTGCTTAAATCGGGTCACATTAAAGGTCCAGCTGGGAAGGAGCAAGACTAAAAGATCAGTATAGTCCTCGACATCTGCTCATCCCATCTCTTCAGTTTCAGTCTTTTCACATAACACCTAACTTCGTTCATCTCTTTATCCAACCTCGGTATTCTTCTTATAGAATTATAAACCTACAATCCTTGACAATATTCTTGTATTTGAGCACACACAAGCCATGAAGCTGTCACTCCTCCTCATCGCCGCCCCCGCGGCACAAGCCGTAGTCTCATACATGCCGACTGTCCCCGACACGCTCATGGCCATGGTCGAGTCATCTGAGGACTGTAACCTGCCCGACGACTTCCAGATTCAAAACTTTTCCGCCGAGTCACCAGACGGGGGTAAAACGACGGACTCGCTGGACTTTACCTTCAACGACGACAGCACCATCCTCAACACGCAGTGCCACCTCAACGCCTCGTCGGCGCCGGTGTCCGGTGACGGGCGGACCCCGAGGTACGCCTGCGACAACACCAACGTGCAGTTCATCTGGCAAAACAGCACAATTACCGTCATCGAAAAGGTTTGCCCTGGTGACGACGGGTAGGTCCAACTGATTTATTTTCTTCGGAAAAGTTATGAAGGCAGACGAAGAAGGTAGCTAGCTAACATAGTATCGCGCAGTGCCGCCGACTACGAGGCATCCGGGACAGCTGTGGTTCCGCTGGTGTGCGACGGGTGTGCCGCGAATGGGACGGACAACGCCGCCCGGTCACACAGGCGCGCAAAAAGATCCGTTGAATGCAAGTCCAATTCGGATGACATCCGATCGAGATTCTTCAGCATTCAGCCGGTTGGTTGAGAAGGCGGGGGTGTGAGGGATGAGCGCAAAACATCAAGGGATGAACGTAAAAAAGAAAAGGAAAAAAGGACAGAACGGCACACCGCATTGCCATAGATTATGAAACAGACATGAGTGAAGGCACGCCGAGAGGTTCTTGGGCTGCAGATGAAGCCCGAAACAGAAGCTTTTCTGAGGAGAAGAATACAAAATGAAGAGTCTTTGTAGTGAAGCCACGACTGTGAAGAAAACCATGAATTACAAAATAGAACAATCAATATACCTTCCACCCACTCTTCGCATGAGAAGCTCGAAATTGAAGTCTCCCCAACATCCACAGGTCCCAAATGGCAAAAGGTCAGCTGGGCTCCAAGGAGGCACGGAGGGTGAGGGGACCCGCCCTCTTGACAGCTTTTCGCGGGGCATGACAACCCAATCCCAGGCCTCTTCCCGGCAGCCACAGGGGAAGAGGGCCACCTAGGACCAAGCGTTTGTCGGCAAGCGTCGCTTGGCCGCGCCTCTCCGCATTTTGGAAGGTAAGGTACTAAACAACTCTCCTAGGTAAGGTACCTTAATTATTACTGCCGGCTCCTCACTTACCTCTCTGCATAACAGAATGACCTCACCACGCTCATCCTCACGAGATCAGGCCTGAGACGTCGGTGTACCGTCCATTTCCTCTCCCCATTTCCCCATTCTATAACACGCCTCCTCGTTGACCACGCACACCAAAAATTTACACCTACTCACACCTCACACACCTCCATCTCAAAAAAATACCTAATATAGCAGGAACCCGCAGGGTGCAATCGTCATCATGCGCTTTTGGAGGGTCAGGCTTTGAGGCTTTCCCTGCTGTTGAACCTGGTACATCGTGGCAATCACAACTCAACCTCTCACCAGTCCATTCATACAGACCTGTCTCTGTTTCGCCCATATCTTCCTCTCCTCTCCTCCACTGCTCCATTTGATCGTTCCCATTGACCAAAGGAAACTGCTCCCCCGCGCAATGTCTCTCAGCCTGCGCGATCCATCATAGCCTGCAATTCTGAAAGGGCTTTACACCAGACTGCGAATCCGAACACAATGCTCCCTCCAACGCGACACCTTCTATCCTTCCTCCAAGTCGTGTCACTGGTTGACTTGACTTCAGCTACACCGTCTGGCAAGGCACAGTCGCCGCCGCAGCAGCAACCCTTGTCGTCGAGCAACGACACCAAGAATGCCGCACCCCCGCCGCCCGTCTCCGCCGAGCTCTTCCGATCCCTCGAGCGCACGTCGCGCATCGTCGACATCACCTACTGCGTCGGCACCTCGGGCATATCGCAGCCCTTCTCGTGCGTCTCGCGCTGCAAGGAGTTCCCCTCCTTCACGCTCGTCTCGACCTGGAACACGGGCGTCCTGCTGAGCGACAGCTGCGGCTACATTGCCGTCGATCACGGCGTCCGCAGGCCCGGCGACGAGGACAGGTTCAATGGCGAGGTCGGGGAGGAGGCCATCATCATCGCGTTCCGAGGCACATACAGCATCTCCAACACGATTGTCGACCTAAGCACCATCCCACAGGAATACGTGCCGTATCCGTCCCCCGACGACGGCGGCGAGGTGCCCAAGGAGACCGAGCACAAGTGCAAAGAGTGCACCGTCCACATGGGTTTCCTGACGTCGTGGCGCCAGGCGCGTAGGCTGGTAATCCCAGAGGTGAAGAAGCTGAGGGAGCAGTACCCGCACTATCCTATTCACCTGGTCGGTCACAGTCTTGGTGGCGCCGTCGCCATGCTTGCGTCTCTCGAATTAAAGGTCTCCTTTGGCTGGGACAATATCAAAGTCACGACCTTTGGCGAGCCCAAGGTCGGCAACCAGGGCCTCTGTGACTACGTCGACGACGTCTTTGGGTTGAAGGGCGAAAAGGACGAGCATATTTCGAATCGGACCTACCGCCGCGTGACCCACGCTGACGACCCTGTGCCGCTACTTCCGCTCACAGAGTGGGGATACAAGCCGCACGCCGGCGAGTTCTACATCGCAAAGGCCGAGCTGTCTCCGTCTCTCGAGGACGTGATTGCCTGCCGCAGCGACAGTGACGCGAGCTGCATTACCAAGGGAGACGGCAACTTCTTCGAATCCAGAGTGAAGGGGGACTTAATCCAGGTTGTAGCAGCAAAGTCGCCGACGCCGCCAGAGGGGGTGGTGGTGGTTGACAAGACCATTAGCAGCAGCAGGTGGATCAAGAGGTTGCCGGGCCTCCCGGCTCGGCTCAAGCTATGGCAGCTGCTCTTTGCGCACCGGGATTACTTTTGGAGACTCGGTTTGTGCATGCCCGGCGGCGACCCGGCGAATTGGGGGAGGGATAAGTATGGCGGCCGCGACGGTATGGTGTTGTCGGAGGAGCTTTGAGCGCCCCGCCCCACGGCTCTACTTGCGAGCCGTTCCGTGTAATCGATGTATTAATTTGTTTCAGGATGAGGAGAAATATGGCCTTTTGGTATAAAAAGGGTTGCCAAAAATCAGCGTTCTCGGAAATAGCGGGCGTTTGTTACGTTTCTGATACCTTCGGACATAGCTTCAGACTTTAAAAAACAAAAACAAAAAAAACCCGGAAAACCCAAAAAATGCCAAAATTGACTTTGAGCAAATCATGACTGCCTCGGTTGAGTCGCGGCAAACCAGTAAACCTGCGTCGTTGAGCGAAACCCCCCTTGTTCTTCCCAAAAACCGCATAAAATGCGAATCAAGACAAGCCACAAAGTCTTCTCGCGGGACACAGGCAGTTCGCGTGTTAAAAAAAAAAAAAAAATCCTTACTCGAGGCCTCATTCCACAAGGGGGAATGGGACCAGGCGGCCCTGCGCTGGTCACGCGAGCAAAATGACGAAGAAGCATTTGCCAGATGGGGAAGAGAGACGTCGAACGGAGAACGTTGTGGATCAGGCACAATCTCCATTCTTGATTGCATTGGATTTGCCTTCTCTCTAACACGGCAAAAGAGACATGTTTCTGTGTCCCCTCCCATCGCCTGATGCTTTTTTTTCTCTCTCGCATGTCATTGGAACCTACCGAGCTTGACGATGCCGGAAGCAACCAAACGCAGCACCTACTATATGTGGAGAAAGGTGCCACGCATCAACGATCAAAATGGACATTAGGAAAACCCGTTCCGTTCATTGCACGCCGAGACCAAAA